TAACAAAAGTACCTTATAAAAAGTTAATGACATACTTTATGGGAAAATTAGCCTGTCAATCCTTATAATTTTACTAAATTTTGAATGAGGTCCCTGTAGTTTTTTTTTTCTTTTTAGTGAATTCTTTTAATTTACACTGTTAAAGATTTTAGTCCTTCTATCCTAAGCACCATTAGTCTCTATTAAAAAGAGATGATGTAGCACCGAATAAGCCATGTTAGCAAACAAAGATTGCCATGTATATGTTGGGATTTTGATGGTGAGTAAGGAGGCCTAAGTTGAAGTGAGAAGGTAAATTGAAGACATAAATTGATATAATACCATCAACCACATTAAGCTTTTGAAAGTTATTACATTCATGGCATCATGGGCAGCACTGCAGCGACATCATTGAAAGTGATGATGGAGAAAGAGGGGTTGTTTGAATTGAAGTAAAAGAGGAGGAACCAAGCAGTAAGAGAGAGAAAAAGAGATAAAGAAAAAAGATCGTACCATATGTTAGGAGTTAGAATAAAAATAGGGTGGCAGGGGTTTTGAGTTTGTAGAAGTTCTCTAATTTGAAGGTTCATGGTGGATCAACTAATATTGGTGATAGCTCTTGGCATAGGATAGAAGAAGAAGAAGAATAGGAGAGCCAAAGAGGGGAAATATGGAGAGCAAGAAAGGTGAACCCTTATTGGCATTTTTTGTCTACTAACAAGGTTTATTCGAGGATTGAGGTGAAAAATGTTTTTGAAGTGTACACTTATGTGAACCTTAAATTAATTATAAATTATTTATATCTCTCAACTTAAAAAAAAAATCACTACTCCATTATTCTTGATGTTAACTTACTTAACAGCTCCGTTTTAGGTCTGTATATAATTTTTTTAATATTTTTATTATAAAATATTGTTTGTGATCCCATATTAATTTTTAAATTTCTCCTCTCTCACTCTCTCCCCTTTCTCCTTCTCCCCTTCTTTGCAACTCAGTTCATTCCGTTCCCTCCCTCTCCTTCTCATCTCTTCCTCTCTCTCCTGTGTCTCTCTGGCCACCGAAACTTGTGTCTTCGGCAATAAAAGGTGGAAGAAACCTGTCGGTCTTTAGGATCTCGACGAAGAACGAGGGATTTTACAGTGATTTATTCGGGTCGGATGATGATTGGAAATTAAGAGAAAGATCAGGATCATACTAGAAGGCAAAGTCGAACTCGTCCTCGATAATAAGTTACACAAAAGACTTGCATGAAACTCTGGGCATGATAGAGTTCCGGCTCGACTTCAGAAGGAGATGTTGATCGCGACGGAGTTCTCTCTCACCTCTTCTTTCAGGCATGCTCCTTTATGATCTTTATGGTTAATCACGGAGTTCGGAGTGTTGGGAAGGAAGAAGATGCTAATGATGATGAAAGTGCTGGAACTTGCTGCCACGGCTGAGGATGAGGTGAGAAGTGAGAACAATTGGCCCAGAGGAGATGGATGTGGCGATGCAAACTCTATTTCTAAGGAAAAAAAAAGGGCGGAAAACAGAGATGCTTCACTTCTTCACAAAGGACACGAGTTCAACAATAGCGCATGCATGCAAGGTCTTTCATGTGAAGGATAGAGAGGGAGGGGGTGAATTAATGGAGGAGAGAGAGGGAAAGCAGGGAAGAGGGACAGGAGAGAAGGACACAAAGAGAGAGACAGATTAGATAGAAAGGAGACATGGAGATCTAGACATACATCAGATCTATACAGCTCTATCGCCCCCATATCCTCTTCGACTGCATCATCCCTCACCCCTTCTCTGATGCCATCCTCTTCGGCTAGTCTCCCACCACCACCATTATCACATAGCCCCCTAATGACATTGCGACCGAGAGATGGTAAAGGGAGACGGAGAGAGATAGAGAGAGAGAGAGAGAGAGCAAGGATGGGAGGAAGACAGAGTGAATATTAGTGGACATGGGCCAAGGCAACCAGACTGCCATAACAGTGTTAGTGAGGGCATGTCCGTGGCTGCGGTGCTTCTCTATAGCAAGGTGAGATTCTTGAAGGGAGTCGATGACCCTACGGCCACGTTCTGCGCCTACTTCATCGCTGGGATTCTTGTCAACATCTTCTTTGTTGTGAGATCGTGTTCTTGATGAGCGTGAAAGGGTAACGCAAAGGTGGGGAGGAGAGAGATTTAGGTGGGACCCACATTTAATATTTTATTATTAAAAATATTAAAGATGGTGGGACCCACATGCTAAAACAATTAAACGTTTAGTAAATTAATGGTAAGCTATTAGGTGAAAGAACCTTATATGTAGAGGGGCACAAATGACCCATAGTCAATTTTATGATTATTTGTGATTTTTTATATATATTTTAAAAATATTTTTAACTTTTAATTTTTTATTCTGTGTCATCTCCTTTTAATGCAAACTAATGGTGTCTAGGATAGAAGGACTTTAATTGTGTAAATTAAAAAGGTCCAACGAAAACCAAAAAATATACATGTAAGGATCGAAAGTTGGTAAAACAAGGACTGGTAAATTAATTTTTCTTACTTTATAAATTAGATAAAAAAATGCTTTTTTCTTTGTCTTATATTAAAGATTGAAGGGAGTAATTTAGTAGGATCATATATGCTTTTAAAGGAATCATACCCTACCATGTTTAAGAGACAAGACCTTGTACTAGAGTCGTTAATTTGAATTAAATTTGATGGACTCACTGGAAAATCTTAAAACTTGGTCTAAAAGTTTAGAAAATTTTCTTTATTTAAATGTTATTTGGGCTATTCAAATAAATCTAAATCTGAATGAACTCAATTTGAATATCTGAATATTTTTTGTTATTAATAAAATCAAATTAACTTATGAGGTTTTTATTGATAATAACAATCCCACATAATAGGAGTTTGAATTAGTTTGAACAAGAGATAATAAAATCTTTATATTTCTCAAGATACTGAACGATGGAATCAAATAAATAAAATGAAATCAACCTTTGCTGTAGCTTTCACATAGCACTTGCAAATCATCAACTAGATCCTCAACTCACATTTCAAACTCGATAACTATTTATTTTGAATATTTTTTGAAATATTAATGAAAAATAAACCAATGGTTACTACATATATTTTTATTTTTACTTTTTCAATTCTTAATCTTACATTAGTAATGGTAATAAAAAAAGTGTTATAACGTTATGTTGATTGAAAAATCTTAAATTTTCAAGGTAAAAATTAAAATTAGCTAAAAAAATGGAAAAAAAATCTTTCAACAGTTTGGATATTTGAATTAGTCTAAATAAATCTAACTATTTGAATTGTACTTATATATAAACTTTTTTATATGTTTAGATATTTTAAGTTAGATTTGAATGAATTCAGTCTAAATTGAGCTCAGCCTAAATAAACTCGGTTTGCTTAAATTATCAACTCTACTTATATATAATTGGAATATCTATTCCTTTCTCAAAAGGGTTATGCTTTTGCTTTTAACCAAATTGTCCCCACAATATTTATGTTATACTCCCTCCCATCCTCAATACAAGACACCTCATAAAACTTAATAAAGTATTAATAAATTATTTTAAAAAATGCCCAAATATCTAATTGATTCTTAATAAAGTAAATAATTTTGGTTAAGGATAATTTTTGATTTCTATAATTTTTTTAAAATAAGACTCTAAACTAACTTTAAACACATTTCTTAATATATGTGATTTAATTAAAAGTGTTTTGTGAAGTATCTTTTAACTTGGTATTGTATAATTAAGGATATTTGTATATTTTAATTTTAAAATAATTATAGTTATAATATCATAATATTTTAAATGTTATTTTAAATATTAAAATAGAATAAAATATTTAAAGTATAATAACCATTTTAAAATAATATATAAGCTTATGAGTTAAAAGTTTAAATTAAACATAATATTTTAAGATTAATTACAAAGTTAATATATCAAGTTCATGGATTAAAAAGTCAATACAATTTCTTCAATTTAGGGCAATTAAAATTCTTCCTTATCTTTACTCTACTCCCCTTTGATTATTCATTCATAACAAACATGTTACACATTAAATATTCTCGTCCCTTTTATATTCATCCCAAACATAAAAAAAGATCTTTATGAGCTCAAGACAAACATAAAAAAGATAAAAAAAAATAACAATAAAATCTCTCTAAAATATATCAATGATAATTTGATCCATTAAAATATAATAATTTTTTTAAAATTTTTAGGGATCTTTTTATCATTAATAAATTTATATAAATTATCAAATTGCCCTTATTAAAAATAAATGATTCATAATTTTTTTTAAATATTTATAACTTTTCTTTTTATATTCGTAACAATACAACAATAAATTATAACTTTGTATATTAATTCTTTATCTATTATTATATTGTTGCGAATATAAGAAAGAATGTTGTGAATATTTAAAAAAAAATTATGAATTATTTATTTTCAATAAAAATAATTTAATAATTTATATGAATTTATTAATAATAAAAAAATTTTTAAAAATTTTAAAAAAATTATGACATTTTAAAAGATTAAATTATTATTTATATATTTTAGAGAGATTTTATTATTATTTTTTTAAGATATAAAATGGTATGAAACGAACACGGTAGACGTAGTACAAAGAAATCCAAAGAAGATACATGTTTCAAGAAAATAAATTCAAAGAAGATATATGTTTAAAAAAAGAAATCCCAAGAAACATATTGATATTACAACAATGAACGTACAATTGTTAATAAATTCTCATTTAAGTGAGTTGGATTTAAAAATTCACTAGAGTTAAAGTATTTATAAAAATCTTATAAATTGTTCAATGATAAGATTTTTATATCAGGTTTAATTCTTAGATTATGAATTAAATTCTTAACAACTGAATATTAATTGCTGTTGTTAGGGATAACAAAATCTAACATTCAACCATCGTCACTAACAACAAGTGTTTATTGGCAAGGAAATTAGACCAATTTAATTAAAGACCTCAAATTCAAGTCTTTAAAAATATGGAGTGTTCGGTGGTATAACTTCCATCCAAAGACCCTGAGAATAGATTAAAACCAATTCTAGCAATAATTATCACAAGGATGGAGAGATCTCTATACTATGTTGAGAGTTTTATGCATGCAGGTATTCATTTCCACCATATTCTTCAGGATCTTCAAAAAAGGTGAACGAATTATCTTACTGACCCCTCTACTCTGAAGCAGCAAGTCGATCTCCGAGGAGAAATCACCCACGACCATGGCTGCAAAGAAGAAGATCGGGAAATCCCTGCAGGCGAAGAAGTCGATCGCCTAATCCATACGGCTTTTGTTCCCCCCCCCTCTCTCTCTCACACATTCTTCTTCGTGCAAGGTACAGGATGGCCCTGTCCGGAGATTTCATGGCCAAAATCGTAAAGGCGAAGTCCTTGGCGTCATAGTGATGTTTGAGCTCGATCAAATTTTAGTTAAAGTCTCTTCACCACCTTAATCATTCATCATCGCTTTGTTACTATGCGGTTTGATTCATTCTAACTTCTTCTTTAGAAGAGCGCAGAATGAGTGCTAATCATGGGCAAACCACGGTGGGACTGGGATTAATGAATGATTATGTGTTGAGGCGACTTAGGCTAAAAGTTTATTGTTGGACCATGAACTGTTTGGCTACGTATAACGTTGATAATTAGTCAGGAATGTCTGAGTTTCCCATATTTTTGTTGGTTTTGGAGGAAGACTGAACAGCTTGATTGTTTATCAGATAAAGGGAAAGCGGAAGAAGGCATTGAGTTATGATTGCGATGATACTGTTTCCTTATCAGAATTTCTTATCTTAGAAAATGACATGTATGGTAATGTATTGAAGACACATTAACATGGAAACTTCATTTATTATTTTTAGATGTAGAAAATATTTTCTTACTATTTATATTCTGGTTTTTTGTATTCATTAATTAGAAGGAATTACGAAATAATAAGTCAGACTGCGTATATGGAATGGAATCCCATTGTTTCATCTTAGGAAGCATGGAATGCGAGACTTGGCCATAATGGCACGCAATTTGAAGTGGTTCAGTGTAACAGCTTTTTAGGTAAGGTTAGATATTTCTGAAAAAGTTATCAAGCTAATGCAAATAATGCTGTGGTAGCATTCTTAATAGCCATCAAATCAGATGCTTTCTTTCCTTTACTGTTTTGCTTTTGTTTTTGTGCGCGCGCGCGCGCGTTTATGGAGAAATCAAATCTGAAATTTATTAATTGGGTATGAGAACACGTAGATTTACCCAAACGATAAGTTCTTAAATAAATCTGTATGAAAATGAAGTAGGAGATCAATCAATCCTGAACTCATGGTTGTGTGTTTATAGTATGTCTTCATCCAACATGCAGAGAAATTGGAGAACCCTCATAGGCTGATATCTCTGTGTGTTCGCGTTTTCTCTCTTTTTTCCTTTTTTATTCTCTTGCTGCCTTTTGTGTTTTAGGATGTTTCTTGATCCAGACCTTTATTTACTTTTCTTTTTAAGATGATGTCTTCTTTCACCAAAGGGGGAAAACAGAAGAAAATTAGATTCCTGTAAAATATAAGGGGATAGCTAGTTCTATAGAAATCTGGTATGCAAAATTTTTGGAATTTGGAATTTACAAGTTCCAAGCAAGTTCCTGGAATTTAATTTTGTCTGATGTCCAATGGTCTAGTTCGGTTAATTGTTTAAGTAATAGGTTTTAACTGTAGACTGCTCACCATCTATGTTGCTCAGGTGCAGGTTTGGTGTGGGTTCAGGTATGGGATACAGTAAGTTTTCTGTAATTTAAAGGTATGGACATGGTGATGTGATATTGAAGTATCTACTAGCTTTGTCTATGGTCATTGATATGATAATATTTAATTCAGGGTCTTCAAGATTAAGGGTTAAAATTTTGTTGGAACTCATACAGTTTACCTGACATGCAGTGAAATCAATTTTTTTTGGTCAAGCATGAAAATACTACATGATACTTATTTCAGAGTTGCCCCTAATAGCTATGAGCACGGTTATGCACACTTGACATGGATTTAGAAGTATTTATGCTTCATAGCCTACCCTATAAGTTGCTTGGGAAGTGTTAAAGCATAAAACTAGCAGACTTTGCAACCCCTTAGCTAGAGGTTTTTTGTCAGAGTTCATCATTGTGTTTTCTTGGTTATTTTTCATTTGGTGCATAAGAAGGCTACTTGATTGTGATATTAACTGCTTATGATTATCAGACTGTTACATGGTGGTGAAGGAGATAATATCCTTGTGCACTTGTTCGGGTATAAATAGGGAGATATCTAGATGTAATAGTGTGTGGAGTAATGCCACTTCTATACTTCTAAATGCCAAATATGTCTACCATATAACAGACTGCCTCGATAGATTTGAGTTTGATATATTTTATATGATAGGAAAATAACAGAGGAGAGGAGCAAGTTTCATTGATCAATTGCTTCCTATTTTCATTTATGTGTTATTTTTCTGCCATTTGATTTAGCAAGTTGACGCTGTTGTTTTATCTAAATGTAAATTCTTTTTAATCTTCAGGGTGAAGGTTCAGGCGCATGAATCATGCGGTGTGTTTCAACTATTTGATTAACAAACTTTTACTTGTCTGACTCTAGAGATCAAATCTAAGCTGGAGTCACCAAATGATGCCATTGATCCATGGAGTGACCAGGAGGGGGGAAATTGCTGAAACATTTCTATCTCTTGGATTTGATGTTTTATTTGCAATTCAGGTATAGTAATGGGGGACCAGTTTTGGTGAAATACTTGCAAACCTACTGAAGTGAAGAGGTGATATGAAGTTCTTACTCCCTTTGGTCCTAAATATAAGGTGATTGCTATTACGTCATGCATCCTAAGGGAAGTATATTACATTGTTAGATTTGTCAATTAAAAATAAAAAAAGGTCCAAGATTCCATTTCTACTCTTACTAATTTAAGGAATGTAAATGTATCATAAAACCTCCACTCATTTCCATGGGACAATTTTTGTGATCACTCATTAAAAGTTTGAGAGATAAAAATGGGAAACCATTAGATAATATTACATAACACATTATGCAATGGACCAAGAAAGTTTTCTAGAAGACACCTTATAATCAGGACCAAAGGGATTATTAGGAGAACTAACATACATTTTCATTTTCGAACAATTAACTTATAATGCTTGATTCTTTAATTGTTAGCGTTGTTTACATAAAAAAAAATTCCTTCATTTTCTTGTTGGGTACCTTAGTAGAGTTTCCTATACTTTTCACATTGCACTTTGAAACTCAATGTCAAGTTTGACTTGGACAGATTGAATTCTTATAATCACTTATCTGCATGCCCCTTTTTGTTCTATTTACATATCTTTTAATAATGGCTAACATGATGCAGTTTTAAATAATTAGAGATGATGTAAGTTTTTTAATCCGAAATTGAACAATATATGTTCTGCAATTTACTACATATTAGCTTTACAAACTGCTTATGGAGTTGGAGGAAGGCAGAGCAACTCCGCCTTCAATTCCCCAAGTTTTTGGCATTTTGCAATCTTCTCACCCTTCTTTGTTTCTAAACTATGAAAGACTTAAATTGCAGCACAGACCTCTGTGCCTTCTTTGTCTGAGATTTCTTGATTTTTTATAATGGGCTCATGGCTCCTCTCTCCACCCACTTATGTGTGCTTTTGGCCTGAATAAACAAATTTCTAGAGAGAGGAAACAGAAGGTCAAGTCACAAGCATGAGACATTGTTTTTAGTTCTCTTGCTTCAAAGGTTATGTAATTTTGGTGCCTTGATGTCAAGGTTATGTTATCCCCATGCTTCAAGGTATTTCTTTTTCTTATTCATTTAGCATCACACATTGAAGTCAAGTAATACTCTTTCTAACCTCTGCAGTTGTGCATATTTACATATAGGTATTGTTGAATCTTTTACTCTGGCAGGGCAGTCGGCTGATAGATTTGATTCAAGTGTATTGCCCGTATATTAATTGAAAGTAGAAAATTTGTGGTGAATGTGATATTTATGGTCTAGAACTCATTAAAAGTGAGCATGGATTGTATTAATGAATTCATTTGTAAACATAAATACGATGGTCAATCTGCATCCTTTCCTATTTATAAATCTTTAAAATGATTTGATTGTAAGTATCAAGTAAAAATAATTTCCAAATATATCATTACTGCCCTTCTTTTACTTTGTCAAAGAAACTAACACAAATACAAGTCAGACAATGCAAAGGAAGCATAGTCAAAAATACTTAGAAAGAAGAAATCTTGTGTACACGAGGTAATGGATCCTTCATTGGACAAACATCAAAACTCAAGATATTCTTAGATGTTGAGATTCGCCAACCTATTGTGCTAGTTTTTAGAGATTGGCTATCAATTGATGGTTTAATTGAGAGTATGTGGAAGGATCTGGACGTCAGAAGAGTGGGCTGGAATGACTAGGATATGGCCTACTTGGTGCTTAAAAGACCCTAGGAGAACCGTCTAGAGTGGGAACAAAAGGGTGGAAAGGAATAATTTGGAAAAAGCCTAGTTAGTGCCTAAAGAGGTCCAAGACCAATGTGTCAAAATCACTCCTGAACAGGCTGCAGTGTATTCTGGCTTTCAAAGATTGGTCTTTTTTTTTTTTTTCCTTTAATGGGCTTTCTTTGGGCTCTAGATGTTTTGTTGTTTGTAGTGTAACAGAAAACAAATGAATAATAACATGTGGGAAGTAATTAAATGTGAGCTTTTAGAACAGTTTTAATATATCACTCATTAAAGTGTCTTACAATGAGTATACATTACAATGTTGAAGAATGCATTAAAAATGTACAAAATGTTCAGTTCCTCCTTTTTTTTTAAAGTGAATTTTGTGATTCAATGAAGTTTGTAGATGCATTTGAGGTAAGTTGAATCCAAGCATGGTAATCTACCATGTTACATGATTTATGTTCTTTAGCCTTCAATGTTGTCTAGGTGTGAGTTTTGTGATGTCCTGTTTCTCTTTTTGTGTAAGGTTAGAAAAGTATTTGGCATAAGGGGAAAAAATAAAAGAAAAGAAAGTAAAGGTAGGAGAGTAAATTGGAATAGTTGATTAGTCAGCATTGGCGGGAGGGCATCATTGAACAAAGAGAGAGAATGAGCGTTTAGTGTAGGAAAGGGCCAGCATAAGAAACTCTGGCATGGCACAGTTGTATTTGCCTATATGTTAGTGCAAAGTTGATTTTGTGAGCAGCTTTTGATGAATTAAGAATTAAATCAAGGCCTTACCAACAGGTGCTGGTCCTGTTGGAAGAGGCTATGGTCTCTTGAGTTTAAGTTTGTATGAATGTAAGAAAATGCCTTTGGGAAAGCTATTTCCAAATAGCTCCGACAATGCTCGAATTTGACCCAGTTAGATAGTCATATTAAAAAAATAAATAAATATAGGCCTTCACATTGTGCTAGGCTAGGAAGCACTGGTACTTTGACAACAAGGCCATATGCTACATTATATAGGTGTTTGACACTCATGACAGATGAAATAGAAAACTTCAAATTTCCCTCCAACATGACGTATGTTTTCATGTCACTATTTTCGTATTTTGTTCCGTACTATATGCATTTTAGAATGTATTTATGCTTGTTAGATGGTAAGTAAAACCATAATTGTATTAAGTTTTTTGTTTTGGTGAAAAGTATTTTCATAAAGTAAACAAGGCGATTATTTTAATATGATCATATGCTACCCTAAAATTGGGTTGAGAAGGATAGGAAAGGCAAAAAAATAAAAGGGAAATTAGTCATTGATTTTTCTTTGTGAAGTGATTTTAGTAAAAGGAAAGCAACTACAAAAAGAAAAAAAAAATCATGTTCATAAAAATTTTATTTATTTTACTTCTGTTAATATGGAAGATTTTTCATTTTTTCCATGTTTTACTTTATATTTTTGTCAAAGAATCCTTTTATTCTCTTATTTAATGCAGCATTTCCTTATTGGACCATTGGGATTTTAATTTTGCCCTTTTGTGTAAAAAGTAAGAAACAATCACGCTTACCAACCATCCCCATTATGCTATGATCTGTCAACTGTTGACTCCTGGCACAGGCAGACTATAACGGTTTTGTAATCTGCCATTGTGCTGTATGCACTCCCCACTCTGCATCATCACCAAACCAGAAGAGGCAAAAAAGAAAGAAAGAAAGAAAGAAAGAAAGAAAGAAAGAAAGGGAGAAAAAAAGAACCAGAATGGAAGGCAAGCAGCTACCCCAAGATGTCATGGTGGAAATTCTCTTGAAACTCCCTCTCGAGTCTCTGATGCGCTGCAAAATCTTGAACAAATCCACCTATGCTCTCATCTCCAGCTGTAATTTCATCAAGAAACACTTTCAGCTCTCAAAAAGCCAACAAGGTATGCTGGCCTTTCATTGTGAAACGCTGACAGGGTTTTCTGCAGCATTGCTTCCTGATGACATCTCTCAGCCTGTTATTGATCTAGAGCTTCCGCGGCCCTCAGACAAAATCATTGGTGAAATCATACCTTATGGTCCTTGCAATGGTATTTTCTGCCTTCATTTTACTTACCTTGACTGCACAGATCAGTTATGCTTGTGGAATCCAGTGACAAGGGAGGTCAAGGTCCTTCCTTTACCTAACCATCATATTTCCTTGATGGATGACTTTGTCATACATGGCTTCGGTATTGTTCCTGGAACAAATGACTATAAGGTTGTCCGAATTTTGACCTCTATGGATTTTGATATAGAAGACAGCAAACCCTTTATTGCCGAGGTGTATAATCTTAGTACCAATTCATGGAGAACAATCGATATTACTGAGTCTGCTTATAGCTTAGTTTCTCCAATATTTTGCTCCTATCTAAAAGGAGTTTATCATTGGCTGACCCTTGGTCTCTCTGAAGAAGCCATCATTTGCTTTGACATGAGTGATGAGGTATTTTGGAAGATGGAGTTGCCAGAGGTGTACGAGGATGATTCAATTCGTCAAGTTACAGATTGTAATGTTGCTGTCATCAATGATACTATTGCGTATGTTAAGGAATATAGCTTGAATTACTCAATGGATAGTCGGATTGATATTTGGGTGATGAATGAATATAGTGTTGAAGCCTCTTGGAACAAAAGATATGTAATTGGACCAGGTCTTGGACTGTCGAAGTTCCTTGGGTTTTGGAAAGAAGATGAGATTCTCGTGGGAGAGGATAATCAACCTTTGATTGCATATAATCCTGATGCCCGTCAGCAAGTTCATGAATTTCCAATCCATGTTGCAGAGGAAATGTTTCAGGCTTTCAAATATGTGAGAAGCATTTTTCCCTTGTCTATGTTAGAGGATGAGTAAGCTTCAGGGTATGTTTGGATTAAGGAGAATGAAGGAGACATGAGGGAAGGAAAGGTTTGATCTAAGTCTAAATCTAGGAAAATGGTCGAAACCAAACTTCTCTTTTGTTCCGTCCTCCTCAATTCAAGCATAGCTTAAACCAGACCTGACTGCATCTGGGCTTCGAAATTTATTTGGCATAAATAAATGGTTGAAAATTTATTTGGCATAGCTTAAATTTATTTGTCAGGTTCTTATGTTGCAAATTTAGTTCCTTTAGAAATGGTTGAATTAATATAGTGTCAAACTGTCCGTTGAACTTATGTGCTTCCTCAGACAAACTTTCTCAGCTCGTGTGTTCCTCTTATGTTTAATCTCTGGATGATGTTTTCTTATCAATGCAATGAAATTACTGAGTTTTGATATTATTTTGTTAGAGAGAACCATCAGAAATCTTGAATTTCATTTCTTGTTGGAGTGTTTCAAGATGAAAAGGAGATGAAGTGTTTAGCACTTCTTCTAATTCAAGGTTCTGTTTTTTAAGTGTTTCTGATTGATTGAATAGTTGGATTATTGAGATATGGGTACTGTTTGATTGTGGTAATCAAGCTTTCCTGGAACAAGGGATACATATTGGACCAGGGTCTTGGTCTGGAGATTCTTGTGTTTTGGAATGATAGGATTCTTGTTTTAACAAATCCTTCTTTCCATTGCTCTTTCTCTTCATTCCCCTTTTAACTTGAACATACTCTAAACTGGACCTGATTGCAGAGCAGACTTAAACTATGTTTTTTACATAAAATTTGTCATGATTCGGATTTTGACCCTTTAAAATTTGAATATACTTTGTTAAGCCATTGATAACCCCACCTTAAAATTTTCAAATCTATGTGATCCGGATCAAAGAGAGTATCGTGTTATTGTATAATTGGAGAAAACAAAAGGCTATAACAGAGTCATCGAAAGATTTGGGGTGTCTGTTGTCTTCTCTGCTGCCTCTTCTAATGCCTAACATTTTGAGCACTAGAAGGAGCAGCAGACACTTCATATCCGCCTTTGAAAGGGTATAGTTTAAATGAGTGAGGTTCACTTGTGATGAAGCAAAAGAAGAGAACCTTATTCAAGCCATATGATAATTGGAGTAGCATTGTAGTGATTATCAGTCCCTCTGATGTTTCATTTCACAGTTTTGCAGCTTCTATGTTTATCTTATGTTTCATTTATGGATGATGTGATTCAATTCGTGTTTCTTTTAGCGTTAAGTTATGATGTTGATGGAAAAAATCGTGAAGCAGCCAGAAAAAATCCGGAATTTCCGAATTTGTCATGTTCTCAGCATTTCTTTTCTCCTTTTTTCCTTTTTTGATGTTGTTGAAATCTTAACTCCATATTTATGAATGAATTTTCAGATTTGTTCCAAAAAGTTTGACATCCCAATTTTTTTTTAAAAGATTTTTTTTAGCTTCACAATGTTTAATTTTTGGATAAAAGGATAGATACAGAAAGCTAACACAGTACGTGAGTAATTGAGGAAAGCATATTAAAATTTAAAAGGAAATGTCCAAATTTCTAGAATTCAAATATGCTGTGTATTGAATGATTGAATACCAAAATCACTCATGAATTTTCATGATAGTGGCTTTCCTTTATGGTTGTTAATTTTCTTAAAAGCGCACATTAGTCAATCTCAAACCATGATTGATGCATTTCCAGTTAGCTGATAAAATTATTTAAAAAATATTAATATGTATTGAAAAAAGAGAAAATAGCATCTGAGGACATGTAAACAATGTTATTCATAAATAAGGATTAATACGAAATGAATTTTTATTAAAATAAAAACATGAACTTGTTTTTCATCTAATAGTGACTTGTTATCAATTCTTATATGTGATTAATACTTTTTAGAGGTCCTTAGATGCAATTCTTTATTAAAAAAAAGAGCAAACACATAAGCATTAATATAAATTTACACATAAGCATTAATATAAATTTATCCTTAAGGTGTCGATGAAAAACATTACTTTAAAAAAGATAACTCCTTAAATGATATTCAAATTTTATTATAAATTGTAAAGATATTTTAAGAAAAGAAAAAAATTCTTATGAAATTTTGACCCATCATATGTGAGCCCACTAGCAGGTCAGTTTCATCATTAGGTAGGCCCACTTATCTTTCCCCCTTGCATTGTGATATATTTCTCTTGTTTCTATATTTTAAAAAAATTATATCACATAATTTAAAAAAATTAATTAATTATAATAATTATGTTTGAAAATAAAAAAATTAAATTAAATTTTTTTATGTTAATCAACATAATTATGTATTAATTATTTTTTATTAATGTAAATTATGAGGAGTGATTTGAAAAATATATAATAAATATTTATTAAAATTTATAATTTTGCTTATAAAAATAAATAAATAAAAAGTAATATTTTTTAATAATAAAAAAAAAAAAAATGTTGACAATTGACATTTAGGCTCTAGTTTTCATGCATTGCATGGGAAATGATGAATGAGTTATAACATTGATATTCCCTCCATTTTATTATATAAAAAAATTTATTTCATATTACATAGTATTATTTTAGACTTTTAAAATAATATTTAATGACATTTTTTTCCTGTTTTACCCTCAAAACAATCTAATATTATTTCTATAATTTTTAGAGGTAATCTCATCATTAAATATGTTCAGTTATCTTTCTCTCCTTACATTATGATACATGACAAATATTCCCTCCTTCTCTCTATATAAAAAGTCCTCTAAAACTTTTTTTTATCTTTAAATAGAAGGAGTTGTTAGCATTTTTTAATAAATAGATTATTATATCTTTATAAAATTAAAAAAAATTATTATCATTAATTTATTTAAAAAAATATTTTTTATTTATAATAATTAGAGATAAAATTAAAATATTATTATATTTTTAATTAAATAATTAAATTTTATTAATTTACATGATTTGATTAAAAATATTTTATATATAAAAATAAGGAGAGTACAATAGATGTTTAGGCTCTAATTCCCATATATTGCACGGGAATGATGAATGAGTTGCAATATTAATGATCATATTCCCTTCGTTTTATTGTATAGAAAAAAATGTTTCACAATTCATGTTATTTTAAACTTTCAAAATGATATTTAATTACATTTTTCTTAATTTACCCTCATTCTATCATTTTTTTTAATGGTTTTAGAGGCATTCTCTTCATTAGATGGGCCCACTTATCTTTCTCTATTTGCATTATGTTACATTCACAATCAATTTAGGCTCGAATTTCCATGCATTACACAGGAAATGTTGAATAGGTCGTGACATTGATGATTATATTTACTTCACTTTATTATATAGAAAAAAATTGTTTCATATTTCAGGTTATGTTGGACTTTCAAAATAATATTTAATGGCATTTGTCTTGTTTAACACCAAGAACAATGTTCTATTATTGCTATGATTTTAGAGGCATTAGTCTCATACTTAGATAAGCCCACTTGTCTTTCTCTCTTTGCATTATGATATTCAATGTAGATATTTAGGCTCTAATTCCCATGCGTTGCACAGGAATGATGAATGGGTCATAACATAAAAGAATATAATGACAATGAAATTTCAAAGAAAGAAATTATGACAGTTAGATTTAAAACGAAATTGAATGTTCAATCTCCATAACTCCTCTATCTCAATATTACCCAACTCATAAATTTTACTAATTGCTTATAACTTTATTATATAATATTATATACATACATTATATATATATGTGTGTGTGAATATGATGCATTTTGTAGTAATCAATTAAGGGCTTGATTGGATTTTAAGTTTGTGTTTGAAAAAGTCTTTTCGAAATGAAATAAATTTGATTTTTTTAAAAAAAAAACCATTTCAAACTCCTTGAAGTGTGCTTTCATCTAACAAAAAAATTAAAAGCTTTGGCATCTTTCAGTTTAACAAATGAACTTAAAAAAATTATTTAAATACAAATTTTATTATGACAATTTATTTTTGTCAAATTAATTTTTTACAAACTGACTTTTGATTAATAAAGAATTGACCAGACACTAAGTGCCACACTGACAACTTTTTCTTTCTGTTTTTTATTAAGTTTTAACAAGAAGATTCTTTTCTGTCACACACACCCAAATTTCTGAAGAGGGCAAAAAATAAAAAAATAAAAAAAAAAGGTCAAGACTTGGAAAGTTAAAGAAAAAGGGATCCGGATCCTTTCAGTATTCATTTCTCTCAGCGTCTCAATTTAGTCCCTTGGATTTATATCTAATGTTTCATACTTTACCACATCATCTCATTTTAAAAAAAAATTAATTTTAAAAAATAATTCTGTCTTTAATTTTTTTTATTTTCTATTTTCAAAACTTATTGTAAAAATTTTATTTTACATATTTTTGTAAAGAGACTTGCAGACTGGCTTATTTAAATTTTAGTTTAATCTATTTAATAAAAAATTTTAAAAAAAATCTACAAAGGGAGCATTCAAATTTTGTCCTTATCTCGTTCTAAAAAAAATTTTCATAGATTTTTTTAAGCATATTTTGATTAAATAGATCAGGTTAGAGTTTGAATAAGCGAGACTGTAAATTCCTACTTAAATAAGTTAGACTAAAATTTGAATAAGCCAGATTATAAGCTTACTCTACAGAACTTTTTTTAAAAAATTTTTATTAAATATGTCAAGCTAGAATTTAAATGAGTCAGGCTTTAGGTCCCTCTGTAAAAATTTGCAAAGTAATTTTTTAAAATAAGTTTTGAAAATAGAAAATGGAAAAAAAATCCAAAGAAAGAATTATTTTTTAAGATTACTTTTTTGAATATGGGATGATGTGGCAAAGTGTGTAACATTGAATATAGATTCAAGGGGCTAAATGGAGACGCCGAGAGGAATGAATACTGAGAGAATCCAGATCCAACAAAAAGAGAGAAAATCAAGTTTTAATGTCTCTCTCTCTCTCTCTCTCTCTCTTCTTGTTTAGCCTATTTCGCATATAGAGGTGCCTCTGACCTCTGTTGGTAATCTTGGTTCTTTCAAGCACATTACGAATATTAAGATAGGTAAACAAAATATGTATCCATAAAAGTTACACAAATATAAAGAAAGGGAATTGAGAAAAGAAAAAGTTTCCTCTTTTCTATACAGAATTACTAATAAAAGTTATAAAATCAGTTGTGTTTTTTTTTTTTGGGGCCGGTGTATAAAATCAGTTGGTTGACTTCGTACAGTAAAGCTGTTCATTCTTACATGATAGTTGTCGGTAGAATCATTGACGGGAAAAAAAAAAAGTTTCCCCTTCTCTTATCAAATCCTTAGTCCATTTTATAAAATTACTTATCAATTTCTTATACTAAAATTATTAATTTTTATTGATAAATAAGAAAATTACTCTATGAATTTTAGGTCAAGTAGGACCATAAACTTATTTATTGTGTAAATCATTCTCTTTACTTTTGAAAACAGTGTAATATAACCCTTACTGTTAACCAAAGTTTTAAAAACCGGACTGGATCGGCCGGTTTAACCAGTTGAACTAGAAACCGACTCTTGATCCGGTTCGGTTGACCTCTAAAAATTGGTCATTATAGAACCGGTCAACAACGGTAAAATCGAACCGGTTCTCATGAGAAAACCGGAAAAAATTTAAAAAAATAAAAAAAATTAAAATTAAAATTAAAATATATCTTTCTTGATATTTAAATGAAAAGCTTCACTTATAATTAATATTAATTATGTATTTATCAATAATAAATTATATTACCAAGCATCTATAATATATTTTTGAAAAAAAATACATATTTAAATGTATTTTTTATTTAATTATGATACATAAATTAAAAATATATTAATTTAATATCAACCGATTCCGACCTCGGTTAGATCATGGTTCGACCAATGAACTGTGAATCAGTGCCTCGTCCAATTTAATGACCGGTCTGATTTTTAAAACTTTACTGTTAACAGAAGTTAACTTTGACCATTAGTTAATCAGAAAATAATAGAAAAGAACAAAAAAATTAGAGAAAAATGATCAATTTTTTATATTCTTTTGTGTAATTTTTGATATTTTCTATAATTTTTGAGATTATTATCTATTATTTTTTAAACACTTAATAATTAAAATTAACTTTATTAATGATAATGATCAGATTGCATCATTTTCAAATTTTTAGTCACTAATATTTATTTCAGTTACATCGAGTTAGCTCTCCATGTTTTTTCAGACAAATTAGCCATAAAAAAATTGACATATAAACTAAGTTGTTGATGTGAAATATACATATGGATTAATTAATACACATAAGTCAAATCTCCCAGTATTAATTGCTGGTATGTTATTTATTTTACTATTTTATAATTCTTAATTTAATCTATGTGGCTCTTTTTTTATTAAATATGTTGCTTTTTTCCTTGTCGAAGTTAGTACTCTTGCTTTTCACATTTTTAATCTGCATGATTGCTACATCGTCATTTAATTAGCCATGTTAGCGTAATTTAATAATATTAATTCTCTCAAAAGATTAATAATTACTTATATAAGTTTATGAAATGTTAAAAACTAAAATGATAAAAATTAAATTTGAGAGATTAAATAAATAACTCTCCCAAACATTAGGGATTAAAAGTTAAATTATCCCTGCACACACATATATTGAGTTCAGTGATCTAGTGGCTATATACGTATATATTGGGATCTACCTGGTTATGCAATAAAATCATATCATAACTATACTTTACTAGTACTCTTTTTATCCTAATTTATAAGATAACTTTAAAAATTATTTATTATTTTAAAATATAAGATAATTTAACAAAAATAATGTTTCATTAATGACATTTTTTTAGTATTATTTTTATTATTATATATTCTCTCTCTTTAATATTATTTTACATGGATTACTAAATAAATAGAATTTTTAAAAGTTTATATTTTTATTTTAAATAATAAATTTAAAATATATATTTAATAAATTTTATTTATATATGTAATTTTTATTTAAAGGGAGTAATTCTCTGTATTGAATCCAGTGCTTGCCTGCTTGGCCGTAGCTTTGACAATTGGCAGGGAGCATGGGAGAAGGGTGACTTAAAAAAAAAAAATTCTGGTACATTTTTGTATTCAAATTTAAAAATTATTTACATAATTTGACACTTTATTATCATTTAGTGAATTTGATGGAATTTTGGTGTAGTTGCACTTTTTGCAAGGAACTTGCAAGTAATTTTCCTAATTTTCAATTGTAATATACACGGTATTTGGTTTCAGGTTGTAACCTAAATGTTGGTGTCGTCATAACATGGCTTTAGTAATTTATAACTTAAAATAAAAACACTTTAATTTTTTTTTTTAGGCAGAGAGAATTTTTTTATCATTTTAAATACACTTTTATTGGCATCATTTCATAGTGCATCTCCTGTTTTTTTTTTCAAATTTGATTTGATGTCATTTGTTCAACGTACCCAGAGTTAAGGTGGACGCCAAGCCAGGCAAAGTGACAATAAATGCTTCTTTTAAAACACAAAAGGAAAAAAAGGAAAAAAAAAAAAAGAAACTCTTATATTAAAAGAAGGAAACTTTTGCAGCTGTTTCTCCCAAGGAATATGGAATGTTCTTTCAATTCAATAAAATTTTAGGTAATCCAAATGTCATGTTATTTATAATCTATTTAATAAATAAAATAATATTTAAATGATATTATATATAAATTAATTTTATTATCAATGATAATAAAGAGAAAAAAAGGTAATAAATTAATTATGTATTCTATTATAAGAATAAAATTAATTAAAATAATATCAGGTAAAATTTTATTTAAATGATTGAAGTATTTTAATTGAACATATCATAAATGATGCAGTGCATTCGATCTATCTAAAAATTTCTCCTGTCAGTACTCTATTTTATTTATATATTTTATTAAAATTAATTTTTTATAATTTATTAACCCATTAACCAAATTTAAAAATTTAAAAAATTTTTAACTTTGCATTTATTAGATATACATACTGTCACTTACCAATATTTAATAAAGGGTAAAAAAATTTATTAACATGATTTATAAATATAATTAAAAAAAATATTTCTCTCTGTACCTTAAAAACATAATCATCAAAGGGTGTACTTCCAACTATAGATTAGAATCTCACCAAAAAGAAACATAAAACTCATATTCCCAAATGATCATAAATTGAAATTTCACTATTAATTTATTATCAATTTTTTCTATTTCCCTGTTTCCTGATGATTCATTATTAGTAGGATTTAGTTGTATATACTAAACTGCCTTTATGACTAATTTTTTATTGGTTGAATCATCTTTTTATTTTGTCAAATCTTATATTTCCATCTTTATTCTCATCAAATTGGTTATAAATTATGAGGCTTTAATATTCTATATATACATTCAAATTCCTTTATGTTGCCATTTTTATTAAAATCTTTCCAAAAGTATAAATATCAACTTCTAGGATACAATTCATCACTCTGATATAATTTACGAACTATGTACTCCATTGTTTTTCTTGCTGCAATCAAAACAACTGTAACATGATGAATAAGATATCATTTTATTACCAAAATCTGAAACTTTTAGAATGAAAATTGTTACTATATAAGAAATTTTTTGAGATTCATTGCCAACTGTTTTGCTGCAAGTTTTCCAATGAAAACAATTCTATTTCAGATGACAAAAAATCAAACTTAGTTAAAAAAGAATTTATGCTTCTTCTTCCTCTTGTTTAATAAGTTTTATTTTGCTTTCGCTTTCGGACAATCAAATGAGAGAGAGGATTTTAGTTTACTTAAGAGATTTTTTTTATTACTATTTAACTATGTTAGATTTGAGCAAATTAAAGGTAATATTTTTACATGAACTCAAACTCAAGGCTTTGTATTTAAGTGATTATAATTTCTTCTACTTGGACCAATGCCTATTAGTTCATTGAAGAGTTATTTTTTTGATAAACAATTCACTGGGGAGTTCAAAATCTAATCAAACTATTTCACTCACACAATGTTGAAAAAGGAAAATAAGAATTCAAATTTGGTAAATTGTTTTTAAAATATTTATTTTTTATATTTTTAATAAGAAATTGCAAGACCATTTTATAAATTTAAAATGTTTAATCACTCTAACTTTAAATTATTTTGTAAAAAATATATGGCATTGAATTTTTTTAATAAATATATTATATTTTTTGAATGAAAGGTATTTTTTATTATTAAATAAATATATTATATATTTTAATATAATATAATAAATATATTATATTATAATTTTAATAAATATATTATATCATATACCGTTACATATACGATATTATTATTTATATTGAACAATATTTTATATTAACACACCAACGAATATGTAGCATGCTTGCTATTAAAATTTATACCATTAAAATTAAGCCTTATTTTAAACTTTGGCAAAAAAGGCTTATTTTATACAGTATATCAAATGAACCTAGTTGTTGCCATTTTTTTTTCATTGAATTTATTTATTGTTTTAACGCAAAAAACAATGATCAACCGGTGTTTTGTGCATGAACAAAATTTATTATTAAATTAAACATGGTTTTGTGCATAAACAAAATTCACAAACCACATTAAGTCCAATGATCAACCAGAGTTTTTGTTTTTGTTTTAATTATTGAGAATTAAGAGAATCACGTGTTTCCTATATTTGCAACAAACTTAGCTTTGTGATTTTTTTTTTGCCCAAGAGTACTGATTGTGCTTGATTGTAAATAATTAGGAGATTAGCATTGACTTAATTTTGTAATTAATATAAAGATTAGTATGTCCTCCCTCTGTTTAGTAGTATTACAAGACACTTTTAGTCAAATTACACTTTCAATAAATAATGAGTTAGTTAATTATCTTTAAGATTACACACTTTTTTCATGTTTATCTTTATGTAATTGGATGTAAAATCTTATTAATTATACCTTTTAATTAAGAGTTTTTTCTTTGGAAAAATCTTATTAATTCCATCTTGAAATATCCAAAATTCCTTATATTTTTACACAATATTTATTTAATTGTCATTACAATGCATAGTCTCTCGTCTTTATATAAAAATTGTGTAAGTCAAAATTCCCACCTTGATGTAAATTACTTTCTATTCTCTTCTTGCTCTGTATCTCTTCAAGGTACATCAGACGTTTTTGTTTTTTGTTTTTGAAATAAACAAGATAATTAAATTTAAATGACATCATCTTGTAACGTTTTTAAATGATTATAAACTATATTGTAGGCAGTCAACATAAGATTTGTAAAGAAAATGTGAGAAAGTACAACTGGATAAGATTTAAAAAAGAAAAAAGAAAGAAAGCCAAACCCAACAAATTGATAAAAGTCTTATTATCCTTATAAGTAACTATTTCCATCTGAATTCAAATGATAAAATATTACATCTCTTTCAAGATGTCATAATGAATATTCTACATCCACAAAATAAATGCATATGAACGCATTAAAAAAAGGATAGGAAAAAAAGAGAAAAGCATAAAAATAAGATGTAAATCTTATGTAGCACTTTTCCTTCTATATGTTCTCCTTTCTCTCTGAATGAATGAATGTAGAAGATTCACTTTATGATATTCTTAGTTCTTCAAAGAAACCAAACTTTCCACATACTCAAACATTCTGAATAGCTTTGGAACTCCATGAATTTCAAACCTCTGTATTTTCTTATTCCCAAGATTATATGAAACCAATTGACCTTCATCTTCAACAAGAATCTCATCATCTCCCCAAAATCCTAGAAATGAACCAAACTCAGGGCATGGTCCAACTACAAACTTCTTAGCCCAGCTGCTGTCAACACCATACTCATTCATCACCCAAATCTCAAACTTGTAATTGGTCATGCAAAATGTATCAACACAGGCAAGCCTCTCATCAATTACAGCAACAGTTAATTCATGAGACTCGTCAATTTTTGCAGGAGGCAATTGGATCTTCCCAAACACCTCTTTGCTGAAATCAAAGCACAAAATGGCCTGATCATTGTTATCATCAGTTAGCCAATGATAAACACCATTCAAATAAGCCCTACATTTTGGATAACACAATCGAAAAGCAGGGACAATAGCATCAATGGTTCTCCAAGAATCAGTACTGAGATTATACACCTCAACTGGAGGTTGTTCTCTTCCTTCAAAAGCCAAATTCCCAAATCGAACAACCTTGTAGTCCTTTGTAATGGGATCAATCCCAAACCCAAATATGACATAAACCATGTCTTTGGGTTGGTTCTGAGATGCAGGAAGGATCTTCACCTCTTTTGTCCCTGGGTTCCACAGAATCAAGCTGGCCTGACCAGCACTATCTTCTCCATAGACCCCATAGAGACAGAAAATCCCATTACATTGACCATAAAAAAATATGTATTCCACATTCTTCTCGGGGAATGGCAATTCTATATCGTCGGATTCCTGGTTGGAAACTAGGGAAATGCAAGGCTTCAGAGTGAGATAGTGCAATCGGGAGATCAGCCGGAGACGATGGTTTTTGGTGATCAAATCAGAGCATTCAAATTGTCTCGTTACAAAATATGGATCAGTGATTTGTGCGTACCAGGATTTCGCCACTGATTTGAATCGAAGCAGGGATTTCACTGGTAGCCTCGCTGCGATATCCTCTACAATTTCTTCAGGAAGATTGGCGCTCAGCATTTTCGTTTCTTCTGAACTTGCCTGGACTTGTTAGGTTTTCTTTAGCGTGTTCTTCTTCAGGTCAAATTCACTCACCGAAAGACCGACGAAGAAGAAGAAGGGTTTTACAGCAGATAGGCTCATACAGGCGTCCACGAGAGAAGAGAGAAACGTACCATGATTGGGGGTTTTGTGGCGACAGACTCACAGTGTTACGTGGAGACACATATTTATACGAAACCGAATGAGAAGAGGAAGAATCGAATCCTTCTTTTTCATGTAAGATAATACCCCGTCTCCTATTTATAAATTATTTTTATTAATCTCATCACTATTAATATAATAAAATAAAAAAAAAAATATATAAAATTTTAAACACAATCTTTAAATAAAAAAATAAATCAATTATATAATATTATTTTTTATTTTTTTATTTTTAAAAATAATTTAAAAATTTTAATTTAAAATAAAATAATTTTATCAATAAATTATTTATAAAATAAATTTAATTATATTTTTAAAAAATAATTAATATACTCAATTGGGGGAGTGGGTAACTTTTTTTGGTTTTTTCAAGATAAAAGAAAAGATTCAGTATCTTTAACTTTTTTAAAAATATTAAATAAATAACGTCATTTTTTTCCCCAATGAATCGTACGACACTGAATGATTCTTGAATAATCCTTTTGTCAGAAATTGATTATTAAATTAGATAAACATTGAATTAATTTCAATGTCAATCAAAGTGTGGATGTACATACTCCCTTCTTTAAAAAATATAAAATATTTTTAATTAAATTTTATTTTTAATAAAATAATTATTTATTTTTAAATTAATTTTATCTTTTTATATTTATTTTTATTAAACACCCTACAATAAATATAAAATTATTATTAACAGGGACACTTTAAAAAAAAAATACTGATTACACTTCAAAAGATTAAAAATACTTTACATTTTTAAATATTTAACTTCTTAAAAAATATTTTATAATTTTAAATGAAAGGAGTATGTAATCTACTTATTAATATTCATTATTTATTTTATTTCAGTATTAATGTCTTAACAACTCTAATATTTTTTTTTAATGGGTTAATGATGACTTTTGTTCTTAAACTTTTTTTTATAGACTTTACGTATTCTAAATTTGATATTAAGTTATTTTTGTTCTTGAACATTTGAAATGAGCCACGTTGTCACTCATCATTAATATGTCACAGCATTTTTTTTTGGCGGGTACCCCAATTTTTTATATTATTTATAATAAAATATTAGGCTAATGATTACTTTTATCCAAATTCATGATATTTGCATATCCTAAAGAAAAAGTTCAGGATATTTGCAAATTTTAAGGCAAAAACTTATGAACAAGAGTAACTCTTAACCTAATATTTTATTATACAAAAATAATAATAAAAATGATAGGACATACTTCATTAGAAACAAACGTTATGACATGATAGCAGTGGGATGACAAGGTAGCACATTACAAATTCTAGAAACAAAAATAACCCTAAATAAAATAATATATATGCTTGTAAATTTAGTTTTTAAGTATTTCAATGAGTATGGCTAATTTTAAAAATAAAAATAAAATAACAGAATATAGACGCATGGATATAATGCAAGTCTTGGTAGTTATGTGTCTTGTGGTGGATGAGAATTAATTTTCATTTTTCTTTGAATAATTGAGAAACAAGCACACACTCACACGTGTGGAATCGACCTAGAACCTTCTTTTTGTCAAGGAAGTATTGATGCCATTGCTCATTGTGGCAAACATGTGAAATTAATCATTGAAAAGAGAAGGTGAATGAAGCCCGTGATAACATAAATATATATATATATATATATTGATTTGGTTTGTCATGGGAAATGAACCAAATCAATAACGTTCACTGTGAATATATATTGATTTAATGGATATATAAGATATGATAAAAGTTAATACTCTTTTACTAATAAGCGTTTATTTTGATAGATGGGACTATGATGTTTTAAACATGAAATATCGGGGTTTGAATTTACATAAATGAAAAATATTTTTGGGAGAGCTAATTTTTGATAATACTTGAATGAGTTGAATTTAACTCATGGCCGCATAAAAAATAATATTCTTTTCATTAATTATTATAAAATATTTTTAATTAACTCACGTAACTAACTCTTAATGAAAAATGAAACAAATTATTGGAGTGTAATTTTTTTGTTAGGAGTATTTTCATACAAAAAACATTAATTACTCTTAATATTCAACAAATACCTTTTGAATTAAATGATAAAACATTATGAATCAAGTCGTAACATGAATATATTGATTTGATTTGTCAAGTATTACTGAGAATGTATTAATTAAATGGTTGCATACATTGATCATTTGATTTGTTACAAGAAATGAACCAAATTAATAATAAAATATTATTGAGAATGTACTTGTCCAATGGTTGCACGAAATATGATCAAAATTGATATTCTTTTCATTAACTACTATGAGAATAAACAAATAATGTGATGCACCAATGGAGGGTTTTCCTTCTTTCAGTTGACATCTCTGGGATTTATCGTTGTCTACTTTTTTTTTTTTTGATTCAATTTTTTTCCTTTATTTTTTCTTCTAATTATTGTGCTCAGAGTTTCTTTGTTTTTGGTAATCTCTCAAATCTATTTTAAAATTGTGGTTTTTGGGAAGAGAAATGGAAAACATGAAAAAAAAAAAAAACAGAGAGAGAGGAACAACTGGAGTAGCCATTGCTGAGGTAAAAGCATAAACTTTTGATTAATTGCCTTATGTGAGAGCTATTCTCTTGGTGCTACAGACTATAGTTTGGATATTTTTTGTCATTTTCATTCTCTTTTATAAGCTTGTTGCTTTAATGCTTTTTGATTGTTTGTGCATTTGGTTGAGCATCTCTTATATTTTGTTTTGATCATAATAAATCTATTTTTATATTGGTCTAGTTTTTTTTTTGGCTAGATATTGGCCTACATTGGCGGAGGGAAGGGGGACCAGTAGGGACCGTGGCCCTCCTAAATTTTTTAAATTTTTTTTATATTATATAGATATTACATACTTTCGGCCTTGCTAAAATTTATGAAAACTTCATAGTATACATGTTTTTTTAAAATTAGCTCCCTTTATTCTTAAATCCTAGCCCTGTCCTTATTGGTCTAGTTGACTTGTGATGTTTTGGTTTGCATTGATGAGTTTCATAAGTTTACCAATTTTTGTGTGCCTTTTGTTGAAATATATTATTTATTTTCTATCATATATTTATTTAATTATGCTCTCCTAAGATTCTAGTAAGTGATGAAAATTTATTTCTATTATATATAAATTATTGAGTTATATTTTTTTCATCACAACACTTCACCTAGTCTCATTCGTTAATCATGTTCTAGAAGATCTTCTTAGTCCTTAACACATGTGTTTGGAATAAAATATGATTTTTGGTTCAAGTCCAACTATTTAGATTAAAAAGAGTAATTTTGGTCTAAAAGTCCACCTAATCTAGAAAAAAGGTGGTTAAGGAGGAGACTTGGTCAATGACACATTACTTCCAAAACGGCAAAGAGTGGAAAGCCATAGTTAGTAGCCTAAAAAAGTGAAGTATGGAATTATCATAAAACTATAACTTTGTACCTATAAAAGAAAAGCCACTACACACATATAAAACCACTCTATAACTCTACACACAATTTTTACAGCAAAATTTTTACCTTGCATAATCTTTTATTTCACCCAGCATGACTCTTTTTATCTTTCAACAAATTCGACATAGTGCCTTTAGTGCGTCACGCATTTAACATAGAGCATTAAAGTTTTCCAACATCTAGTAGAGCACCAGTTACTAGTAGAATAACTGTAATAGTGCGCCAGCACTTTTTTTAATTTTTCATCTTTTATTTATTGTAATTTCTTTTTTGTCATTGTCAATATCATAGCTATTCTTATTGTGCAAGTCTCACATGTTTTTTTATCTTTGTTTTTTCATTCTCTTTACTTTTAAGTACTTATATTTAAGAAAATTATAATAAAAGGCTTTGGAAACTCTCTATTTGATTTTAAAAGTTAGAAACATCATATCTTTTGAGAACATACTCCTTTGACGAGACCACACACAAAACACCAAAAACAGTAAATTATTATATTATCCCTTATTTTTTACTATTTTTGATGCTTAATTCCAAAAATATCTTCTTGGAAATTCTAAGAAGTGGTACAACATTTTCTTTCTTAAAAAACTTTTCATCTACATCAAATCACTTAGTTTTATTTAAATTTAAGGGCAAAAATGAAAGGTAATTTAATTTTATAAGTTAATTAAAAGTGACTTATATATATAATCAAATAAAGCATATTTGTAATTCAGTTTGATTCTTTCAATTTGGGTTTTCATGTATACTTTCATTTTCTCTTAATATATAAATTGATTTTCATGTAAAATAAAACAACTAATTAATAATTAAGTGAATAAAAATAAAATCTGAAAAATAGAAGGCGAGCGTACTTGGTTTTCTGTTAAAACCTCCAAATCCCAATTTCCAAAACGGAGTTTTTAAAAAGCACATGCGTTGGAGGTTTGCAAAACGACATTTTTCCCAACGCTTTATTTGCCATCCTAACCTCAATTCCCAAAATATCCTATTAGGCTATTTTGACTGAATTGAGTTTTCTCAAATCAGTATTTTTTGTTAGTGCCATTTTCTAAAAATGATTTCCCAAGTATACACTTTATTTGTCCCTTATTGTTGCTACCTGGAATTACATGCTTCTTCCATTTGCTGATGATATATATAAACATATATAATTTTTCCTTAATTTGTGCTTTTTTTGGCCAATTAAGAAATTGAATTGAACTTGGAGACGTTACCTTTTATAATTTTTTAGTATTTTTCCTTACAAAACAAGTGTGCTTTTTATATATATATAAATATTAAGTTAAATTAATCAATTTTATAATATAATAAAATAGGCTCAAGGATATATGTGTTCAGAACTTTTTAAGCCACCATGCATGGGAGGCAATTTAACAACTCGTTGATAAACGATGGGTGAAAAATTGGTAATCAATTTTTTTTTTGGTCAAATGGGAATCAATGTTATAACAACTTGAATAGACTTATACCAAAAAAATTTAATCTAATTGATAAGGACTTAGCTTATAATCTGCAAGTTCATGAACTCAAATTCCACTGTTAATATAAAAACTTTGTTGAGAAGTGATATGTACTTACCTCTAAGCTCTCGTTGAGCCTAGATGCATATTTTGATTTCAAAAATTTATAGGAAAAGCTATAGTTAGTGGCCTTAAAAAAGTAAAGCATAAAATTATCAAAAAACTACCACTTTGTACCTATAAAAGGGAAGCCACTACACACATACGAAGCCACTCTTTAACTCTTACAACTCTACAACTCTACACACAATTTTTGCAGCAAAAACCTTGACCCTGCATCATCTTTTACTTCACCTAGCATGACTCCTTTTATCTTTTAACAGATTCGACACAATACCTTTAGCGCGTTACGCATTCAACAATATCATAGCAATTAATAAAGCGTCATCTCCTAATAAAACAATTGTAACAGTGCGCTAGCACATTTTTTAGTTTTTCATCTTTTATTTATTGTAATTTCTTTTTGTCACTCTCAATATCATAGCTATTCTCGCCGTGCAAGTCTCACATGTTTCTTCATCTTTGTTTTTTCATTCTCTTTACTTTTAAGTACTTGTATTCAGGAAAATTGTAGTAAAAGGTCTCAAAAACTCTCTATTTAATTTTAAAAGTTAGAAACATCACATCTTTTGAGGACATGCTCCTCTGACAAGTCCATACACCAAACACTAGAAATAGTAAGTTATTATATTATTCCTTGTTTTTTTTATTATCTTTGATGCTTAATTCCAAAAATATCTTCTTAAAAATTCTAAGTGGTACAACATTTTCTTTCTTAAAAAAATTTTCATCTACATCAAATCACTCAGTTTTATTTAAATTTAAGGGCAAAAATGAAAGGTAATTTAATTTTATGAGTTAATTCAAAGTGACTTATATATAAAATCAAATAAAGTATATTTTCTGTTCAGTTTGATTCTTTCAATTTGGGTTTTCATGTATACTTTCATTTTCTCTTAATATATAAATTGACTTTCATGTAAAAAAAACTAATTAATAATTAAGAAAATAAAAATGAAATCTGAAAAATAGAAAGCCAACGTACTTGGTTTTCTGTTAAAACCTCCAAATCCCAATTTACAAAACGGAGTTTTTAAAAAGCACATGCGTTGGAGGTTTGCAAAACGACATTTTTTCCAACGCTTTATTTGCCATCCTAACCTCAATTCCCAAAATATCCTATTAGGCTATTTTCGCTGAATTGTTAGTGCCATTTTCTAAAATGATTTCCCAAGCATACACTTTATTGTCCCTTATTATTGCTACCTGGAATTACATGCTTCTTCCATTTGCTGACGATATGCAAAAACTTATAGGACTTAGAACAAATTTAATTTGTGCTTTTTTTTTGCCATTTAAGAAATTGAATTGAACTTGGAGACGTTGCCTTTTATAATTTTTTAGTATTTTTTTCTTATGCTTTTTTTATATATAAATATTAAGTTAAATTAATCAATTTTATAATATAATAAAATAGGCTCAAGGATATATGTGTTCAGAACTTTTTAAACCACTATATATGGGAGGCAATTTAACAACTCGTTGATAAACGGTGGATGAAAAATTGGGAATCAATGTTGTTTTTTTTTTTTTGTCAAATGGGAATCAATGTCATAACAACTTGAATAGGCTTATACCAAAAAAACTTTAATCCAATTGATAAGGACTTAGCTCATAATCTATAAGATCACGGACTCAAATTTCACTGTTAATGTAAAAACTTTGCCAAGAAGTGATATGTACTTACCTCTAAGCTCTCGTCGAGCCTAGATGCATACTCTAATTTTGGTTAGGTTTTGAAACTTAATTTACCTAAACTTTTTATCATAAAAAAAACTAAATCAGGCTAATTGGTTAAAAAAAAGCTATTTTTAAAGTGTCTGATCTAACTTCGGGCTTTGAACACATTCAAACATTCTAGCCCATCGATGTGGCTTCTATAAATTTGGTCGAAGTCTATATTAATAGATTCAGAAGGGTTTGCTTGTTAATTTACAAACCCTTGTATATATGAACATTTAAAATATATTATACCTCTGCCTTCTCACATAACTCAAGTTTTATTCTAACAATATAGTGCAAATGCATATTGTGATAGTCCATGTCTCAAAGGAGCCATCGAAATGGAGGACTCAACAAGTTTTAGAGCTCAGAAACTAAAATCTGAATGAAATTGACAAGTTGTTAGCATTGTTACCGAAGGATTTTGGTATTGGAATGGTGCGATTGCATTAGACTCAATAATCTTTTCCACTGGGCATGTATCCTACCTGAATATCTTTAGATCTGTTGTCTCCTGAAAGTTTAAAGGTTCTCATTTCTAGTGACTCTCTGTCTCTTACTTTTACTCTACACACAACAGGTAACTCCAATTCAAATTCTAAGAAATCTTTATTATAAATTTTATTGTCTACTCAATTAGATGACTTGGATAGAAATTGAATAATTTTAGAGTAACTCTAAAAAATTTAATGTGTTATTTGAGTAACTGACTGAGATTGCTGAATAACATTGAAAAAATGACAGAGATTGCAAGATTTGAAAGCATTTGAACTATTACTCATGCTTAATTGGCTAGCATTGGATTTGATCTGTCTGTTGGTGTTAGATCAAGCTAAGGAATGAGTTCACAGATGGAAAAGGACTCCAAGATTTTTCTTTTTGAAAAAAGAGTGAGTTTTTTTTTTTGGTAACGAGTTACCAAAAGTCATGTTGTTGATGATATAATAGGTAATTAGTTTTTGGCTTCATACATCTCTAATCTAATTTCAAAGATGACTCGTTGTAAGAGACTTGTTTCAATTTATATAACATTATATCTTTTATTAATTTGGGGGTAATTTTATCTGGAGAGAACTTTAGCAAAAGAAGGAATTTAATTTCAAAACAAGATTTGAGAATCAAATATGAAAGTGTATTCTCATTTATTTCTGAGGATTATATCATAGAAAAGAGAGTGAATTATCCTTGTGAATGTGTTGACATCTATAAAGCTATTGTATATACTATGTGTGCTATATTATAACAATCCATTAAAAAATCTCTCACGAAGATGTTAAACCTAAGAATGATAGATGTGTGTGTGTTTTAGTGATGTCTAATATAAAAATCCATGTTTGAGAAATGCAAGTGAGATATATATATATATATATGTATGTATGTACTTGAATTAAAGATCAATATTTACACCAATGATTTTTAAGATATATTATAACAGATTATGAACATGAAAGAGAGATTAATAGTTGTATATAACTACATTACTATCATTAATAACAAAAAGAAGATGCTTAATTAGGGTAATTATTGAGGCAAAATCCGAATCACAGCAACAACAAAGTATTGTTACCTAATACAAATTTACAAGTTAAACTTGAAAAGGTACTAGCTTTGACGTTCTTTTCCAGTTACACAGTACTACTTCCCATTACTTGCCCCCTCGCCTGGACGACTATGAGAATGTACAGAGACAGTGGATGTTGTTTGGTTGGAGTTAGATCCATCATCCATTAAAACTATTTCATTAGGATACAGAGAAGGTTTTGGAGGCATAGCAAGACTTTCGACATCATTTTCTAACATCTCTATTACTTTATTCATTGAAGGGCGATCAATAGGTTTTAGTTGTATACACCAAAGTGCTACTATGAACATTTTTCTTGTTAAGTCCTTTTCCACTTGTGTCAAACCTTCCATTTCTATATCTTTCTCTTCATCAAATTGATCGTAAATCCATAAAGGAAAATAAAGTTGGCTTGAATGTTCTAGATGTGGATTCAAATTCCTTCTTCGGCTTGCCATTTCCATTAAAAGCATTCCAAAGCTGTAAACATCAGCTTTATAGGACACTCCACCAATATTTTTATAGAATAATTCAGGAGCCATGTATCCTATTGTTCCTCTTGCTGCAGTCAAAGTGACAACACTGTCATTGACAGAATATAATCTTGCTAGACCAAAATCTGAAATTTTTGGAGTGAAGGTATCATCTAGAAGTATGTTATGGGGCTTGATATCAAAATGCAATATTTGCATGTTACACCCATGATGAAGATAAGCAATCCCACGAGCTATGCCTAATGATATTTCATATATTTTGTGATAACTCAAGGAGTCACTTTCTTGTTTGGAAAATATAAATTTATCCAAAGAGCCATTGGACATGAATTCATAGACAAGAGCCTGCTTTGTTCCTTCCACACAGAATCCGACAAGATGTACCACATTGAAATGGTGTATCCTTCCAATAGTAGCCACTTCACTAATAAATTCTTGGTTATTTGCTTTGGATTTACCTAACATTTTGATAGCAACATTAGGTCCACTCCTTAGCTTTCCTTTGTACACAGTGCCAAAACCTCCTTCGCCTAACTTATTCTTGAAACATTCAGTCATTGTCTTCAATTCCTTGTATGAGTACCTTATTGGAGTGAGGTTATAAAGCCGTATAAATTCCTCAATGTCTTCATACATTGATAAGTGTCGTCTACGGCATGTATAAATCAACAATGCAGATAGGAATATGATGCCAAATAAAAATTTGGCTGTGATATATGGCAAAACAACTCTTGCAGTGACTATTCCTAATTCGATTGTGGGAGTTGATAGACTAAAATTGTAGCCACTTCTATAATCCCATTCCGATGAATCCCTCCTTAGCAGTAGTTGTATTCCTGTAAATGTGTTTATTTCACAAGGGTCGGATAATTGGTCAATCACAAAATGATAATGGTGCAAATACACACACAGTCACACGCAGACATATAATATCAACATCAGATTCTGTCAATGCGCAAGGCTTGCCCTACACAGTTTTCAAGAAAAAAATTTAGAAAATATGAGCAAACTTCTTTTTCCTAGAAATAACTATATTTTACTCCTTAAATTAAGATTTAATTATAAAATTATCACATCAATTTTAAAATACAGTAAAACACTCCCTCAACTTTGAAATGTTGCAAAACACCTATTAACACCAATTGCCACGTTAAAGTTGTGTTATAAAAAGTATTTTGTTGCCAAGTAATCTAGATCTTATTGCTTCAACAATTTCGCAATTTGAAAAAGTTTAGAGGTTGTTTGCACTTAAATTATGAATTTGGAGACCCAAGCCCAACTTAACTTAATTGGCTTTAAAATAATTATATAAAAAAGAATATTTATGAAGCCTTGACCATTAAGTCAAGACCATGACCCATGATGAATGATTATGATGGAGAAAATGCTTCCTAAATTCAAGAAAAATGGCGATCATGGGGCTTGAACACCAAGCCAAGATCATCTACAAATAGAGAAGCTCTCTCTCAATAGTCATCATCAATATCAATAAACTATCAGTCTCAAACTCTACGTCTATAGCTTTATTTTATTTTTTTCTTTTATCATGTAGTTTTAGTTTTTATTTTTTTGTTGTATGGCTGGAATAGCCTGTCATCTTTTTTTTAATTAATGTATCTCTGCTTCTATTTATTTACATTAATTTTCTTTACCTTGCATTCTCACATCTGGGTAAACTATGGTAAGGGAGCCCAAGTCCCCACGTTTGATTAAAAGTCAGGTTCTTCCATCCTTTTGAAACCTTGCATCTCTGGCACTTCTTGTGACACCATGCCTAGTAATTGATTGCTTTTCACTAACAATTTTTGGCATACCCGGTAGGACTCGTGTGAAAGGAATGCCTAGGACACATAAGGATTAATATGTTGTTGGAAAGAATAGACCTGAGTCTTACGACTCAGAGAATGTGGTTGCACACGTAGAACGTCAAGTATGAGCTAACGAAAGGCAAAGAGCTCTGTTGCAAACTTTGAAGGAGGGGCTAAGGAACATCTCTACTATGTTGTTTAGATCATTGTAAGAGCAAGCTCCAATTGGCTTGCACCTTCAGAAAACAGATGGACTCAGGGGGTAGTCTCCTAAAATGCCATTCGACTAAAAGATCAATAACGAGGACCGTTATAACATCCCTCAAAAGATAAATGGTAGGTCTAATTCAATAGCAGACCCATTCGACCATAAGGGTTAGAGCCATTGGAGCCAGCACCATCAGGGTTAAAGCCATTGGGGCCAACACCAGAGGGGTCAGAGCCACAAGGGCCAAAGTTATTGGGGCCAGTACCACAGGGGTCGAAGCCATTGGGGCCAACACCAGAAGGGCAGGAGCCACAAGGGCCGAAATTATTGGGGCCAGCACTATCGAGGCTAAAGCTGTTAGGGCTAGCACTAGAGGGGCGAGAGTTATAAGGGCTAAAGTCATTGAGGCTAGCACCACAAGGATTGGAGTTGCCGCCACCATCAAGGCCAAAGCCATTGGGGTCAGCACCAGAGGGGCTAAAGCCACAAGGGCTGAAGTCATCGAGGCTAGCACTATCACGGCCAAAGCTATTAGGGCCAATATTAGAGGGGCCAGAGCCATAAGGGCTGAAGTCATTAAGACCAAAGCCACAGGGGACAGCATCAGAAGGGTCGGAGCCACAGGGGCCAGAACCATAAGGGTTAACACCATAGGGGCTGAAGTCATAGGGGTCGCAATTAAGAGACCAGCACCACAGGGGTTGCAACCACAAGGGCCAACACCAGAGGAGCTACAACCATAAGGGCCAGTATTAAAGAGATTGAAGTCACAGGGGCCGCAATTATAAGGCCCAGCGCCACAGGGGCCAAAGTGAGAATGGTGAGTTTTGCAAGGGCTCTTTCCACGAGAGCTTTCTCTTAAAGGGCTCTCTCCACAGGGGCCCTATAGCAGCTAGATTTTATAGAACTAGTCCTTAAAGTCCAAAAACTCAAAAGGCCAATTCTAAAACCAGCTCTTGAGGTCCTAAACCTTGAGAAACTTGATCTTAAGCTAGACCACATAGTCCCTAATCCTCAACGACAAGAGTGTCCTTCAAGTAAAGTATCAGATCAACTGTCAATTAGAACAGGAATGAGCCAATCCTCTAAGACATATTACTCACGCAACGCTTGAAAATGAGGCCAATGGAAACATCTATACAAAATTGGCCTATAAAGACTTCGACCAATTTATATGCGAGGGGTACTGTTTGCACTCAAATTATGAATTTGGAGGCCTAGGTCCAATTCAACTTAATTGACTTTAAAATAATTATATAAAAAATATTTATAAAGCCTTAGTCATTAAGTCAAGACCATGATAGAGGAAGTGCTTCCTAAATTCAAGGAAATTGGCGATCATGGGGCTTGGACACCAAGTTAGGATTATCTATAAATAGAGGAGCTCTCTCTCAATAGTGATCATTAGCATCAACAGACTATCAGTCTTAGACTCCATATTTGCTACTTTATTTTATTTTTTTTATCATGTAGTTTTAGTCTTTATTTTTTTGTTATATGACCGGCATAGCCTGCCACCTTTTTCTTAATTAATGTATCTTTACTTCCCTGCATTTACATTAATTTTCTTTACTTCGCATTTTTACATCCGGGTGAATTGTGGTAAGGGAGCCCGAGTTCCTACATGTGATTAAAAGTTAGGTTCTTTTCTCCTTTTGAGATCCTACGTCTTTAGCACACCTCATGACACCACACTTGATATTTGTTGTTCACTCACGAACATAGGTCAACTATAAGATGATTTTTTTTTGCTAAAATGACCAAAGGATTATGAAAGAGATGGCAGACAAACAAAATAGCAGAGAGAAAGGTCAGTGTTCAAATGAGGAAATGAAGGTGTGTGAAGCATTTAAAACCTTGTAAACAGATAGTACTTCGAACAAGAAGTGCTAGTAGAGGTTCTTCTTTTAGTGCTTCACTGCTTCTTTGAAGAAGCAATGGCAAAGGATTAACCTTTTGTAGCGCTTCTTATACAAAGGACTAATCATTTTAACATGGTTAATGCTCTAGGTAAGAAGCGGTTACTAGATATTTTTAAGAACTTGGCAGTTTTTTTTTTAAATTTTTTACTTAGCCCCATTTTTATTAGTGTCTGCAAAGACTGTGTAGCATAGGGACATAATGGCCTTACAAAGGAATATTAGAGCATTCAACAACACAGACGTGGATGTCTCAGGTCATTAAGAAAAAACCTGAAACTTATAATTGAAAGAAGATGAGAAAGAAACCCATAGATCAAGAGACCACATGAAGATGAAGGGGAATAAAAGCGGTTAAGAAAAGAAAGGATAAGCATCCAGTAAGAGGAAAATCTTTTCTATTAAAAAAAAAAAAGGAGGAGCTCTTTAGAAGAATCATGGTACCAAACCATGTATTGTAGGCAGAATGTTTGCTATGGTTGTGTAAAGCCAAGGCATATGTAAAGAGAATGCCTTAGAAGAAGGGATAGAGACTCCTAGACTACAAGGCCAAGGAAGTATATTTTGTCGGACACAAGCTTGATCAAGGCATGATTAAGTTAATGACCAGACATGGCGATTTTCCCTAATTAATTGTTATGTTTTTATAATATTGACCTTAGTTAGTTAGATATATCCTTTAGTAGGTGGACTATTTGTAGCCTTTGGAGGTATCCTTATTTCTATAAATACCCTACAATTCAATTCTAATCATTATGATTTATCAATGAAGCTTGCGCACTATTTAGCCTAATCCTCTCCCTATGTCTCTCTAATTTCTCTTAATTCCTCTTCGTCCCTCCTACTTTGTCTGTTCTTCTGTTAATTCCCTCTATCCTTCCCTCATCTCTATCCTTCAGAATTATTCTGATACAACATTAATCTAGTTGAGTAAAGAATGTGTTTATATGATTTTATATCATGAGTATGTTTTCATTCTCAGATTTCCATTATCATTATGTAACATGCTTGCATTCTCTGTCCCCTGAGCGATGAGATGGCTGGCATTGTAGTGTTGTCTTGGCTACTAAGGGTTTCTGTTCTCATTTTTTATTTTCAAAAACTGTTTTATAATATAATGTTTAAAATTGTATTTAAACCAAAATAAAATGAAAACCTGTTTGGTTATGTTAATTAAAAAAGCAGTTTTAGAATTTAAAAAATAGACTGATAGTCATGGTTATAGGGAATTAATGGTGGTGATTAATAATAAAAATTAATTAAGGTAACTATAATTTTTAATAATTAAATGTAATGTATTTTAAAAACAAGAAAAATAAAAAAAATAAGTTAAAGTTATTTATATTTTTTTAAAACAAAAAAATAAAAATAATTTTAAAAATAATTAAATAAAAACTACTTATTCAAATAAATTTTTAAATTTTTTTTAAAAAAACAGAAAACAAATCGGCCTTAAAATTGCCCCAAAATGTCACCCATTGATACTAACTATATTAGGTATGGTAAGGACAAGGGTAAACAAGGTGGCCTCTTGAGTTTGAAACTTCGAAAAAAGTAAAGGTAGACAATTATTTTAGGATCTCATTTAAAAAGCTTTATAATGTTATGAGCCACGTTTGGGAGTATAATCCATTTCAATAGTCATTTGTAATTTTCAGAGACATTACTTTATGACCATAAATATTTATAAAAAAATTAATTATTTGGTATTTATAATTTTGATTTAATTATAATTTAGTATTGAATTTTAACTTATTGTAACTTAATCCTTATAGTTTTAACTTGATTGTGACTCAATTTCTAAACTTTGCTTCTTATAATTTAGTTCATATAGTTTCAACCACTTAAATTTTAGTCTTTACATTTTAAAAAATAAAATTACAAAGATTAAAAATATTTTAAACTTTTAATATTTATAACATTATAAATATTAAAAGGGTTTAGTAATTTAAAATATTAATAATAAATTTTAACATATTTTTAATTTTTATAATTTTATTTTTTAAAAATATAGATATCAATATTTAAGTGGTTGAAACTATAGAAATTAAATTGTAAGAGGTAAAATTTAGAGATTGAGTTATAAGCGAGTTAAAATTTTAGAGGCTAAGTTATAATGAGTTAAAATTTAAAGATTATGTTATAATTGAATTAAAATTATAAAGATTAAATAATTAATATTTTCATATTTATAATTGTAGTGTTGTGAACTCTGTGATCCCAACAGACGCTAATCAGACCATTGGCCCATGCAGATGATGGATCCCAGGGAGCCCTCATAGCCAAAGTGTGGGAAAGAGGAGCTAGAAGCAGCACGACCTTGACGGCGAGGACGGGACATTAATGAAGTAAAATAGCAACCAAATACTTCTGTATAAAATTTATAACAATCAATAATTAATTATTATTAAAATTTAAATAAATATTTATTAATTTTGGTTAATTTTTTATCAAAAAATATTCATTTAAATTTTAATAATAATTAATTTTTATTTATTTTTCATTTGAATTTTGACAAAAATTTGTTCTTAACTAATATAAATTTCATATGGAAGCCTTCGATCCTCCTCTTTTTAGATAGAGCACTCTCTCTATTTCTTTTCTGCTACATTTTCTATTCTGTTGCTTATGTTTGTTGATGTTTTTTGTTATTCAATCCTGTAACCGTCTTTATTCATCAATATACAAATCTGGGATTGAATATTATATTTTGATCATAACATGTACTTGTTGTTGGTTGATTGAAAGTATGAATGTTAGTTGATGAACTTTAATATTTTGAAAGAGTTATTCCGTACGAATATGATGCATTATTTTGTTTATATGGTAAATTCTAGCAAAAAAAAAAAATGCAAGTAAAGCAACTTAAATAAGGCAAGGTAAATGATCTAGATTTTGTTGCTTGATGAGTTTTGGAATTTCAAAGAGTTCAAGGGTCAAATGGCTTTGGAATTTAATAACTCTTTTTTCCCCTAGTTAAGGGACTTGTAGAGCTTTAAGATGGGTTCTCGTTCAAGCCATTTGCTGTTTTTCTAATTATTTATTTAATTTATTTTTATTTTACTCATTTCTATTTTTTTATTATTTTAATTTTTCCTCTCTATGTTTACCCAGGATGATTTTGAACTCTTTATAAAGTCCTTTGCAAATTTGACACTACTTAAAAGTAAAGAATTGCATCAAAATAAATTAATTTTTTGGGAGAATTTCAATAAAGACCCCTTAACCACACTTATTTAAATTTAAAATTTCTAAATTTTTAAAATTATACTGTAGTCCAAGGATACTAATTTGATATTAAATGTTTAAGAGAAATGACAAAATTATCCCTCATTTAAATTAATATCAGAACTTTCTTGCTTCACTTGTTCATTGTCACATTCACTTGTTAATTTATTTACTAAATGTTGCTAATTGCCCTACTAAACTTGTTTTTATTTTAAGTGTTTAAATCATCTTAAGACAACTTGTTGATTCCTATACTATATATTGTTTATTTATGGATTGTTATTCATTGCTCTACTTCACTTGTTCATTTCCTTGAAATGAACAAGTAAAGTAGGATAATTAATAATATTTTGTAAGTAAATGAAAAGTAAAGTAGAAATTTTTTATATTAATTTAAATGGAGGTTAATTTTGTTATTTTTTAAAAAAATTTAATATCAAATCAATACATTTGAACTGTAGTGAAATTTCAAAAATTAGGAGCTTTGAATTTAAATAAATGTGGCTCTACAACATCGTGTTTCCCTCTTGAGTATTCTCTTTGGGTAGTAGGACTTGGGCATCGACTTAGGTGACCAAGTGTTGCAACGCCTCCCTCTTCAGCTTCTGCCAGGTATAGAGGCATTTGTGTGGTGTCTCTAGCTTGCTGTCTTTTTTTTTTCCCATTTTTTAATGGCTTTTCTGATGGAAAGGCCATTTGTCAGTGTGAAAATAATCGAATCTAAGGGGCTTTCTAGCTTTTGTCTCTACTTGGAGGTGTTTTTGATGGGTAGCTGGACAGATCTGGATCTTAGCACTTTGATTCACATTTTTGAGACATGGAGAGCTTCGGCCATCTCTATTCTTTTTCGCTCTACTTTTCTATTGGCTTTGGATGGCTCTATGTGGTGGCGGCGAATCTAGAGTGCCAATGAAGGGACTTTTGCAATCTATTAGGCATGGTATTTTAGTTTGTGGTTGCCAATTCATCTTCTTCCTCTTCTTGTTTTTGCCCAATTAGTTTGTACCCATGCTTGTTTTGCTGGTATGGGTTCTCCTATGGCTCATCTTTTACAACATTGTTGGTTGCATCTTTGCCAATAAAAAGGGTGGTGCCACCCTTTATGGCCTTTGGCTTTTTCTTTCTTGTGGGTTCTAGTGAACAGGCAATGACAATTTTGTTTAGTTGGCGGCATTAGCAAGAAAGCTCCCTATGTTCTGTTGGTTAGGGTTAGAGTTCTTTTGTGTAGGCATGTTTATTGGGGCCTCTTTTGTGGGCTTTTTTTTTTTAGATTTGTTGCTTTGTTCTCTTTGTTTATATGAAAATAAATAAATATGATTAAGGAGTCTTTATTGAAATTCTCCCTAGTTTTTTCCCCTCTTTGCCCCTCGTGAATGGATAAGTTTGTTGAGAGGATAAAGTAATAATTAAAAGTATAAAATACAGAAAACGTATAACAAAAATCATAGAACCATACCTTTTCGAATCCCATGGAGATAATCTGTAAGAAAATTTTATATTTTACACAAGTCAACAACGGCAACAATGTGCATAACAAAACAAAATAACCACTGAATCTGAATAGATTGATGAAAGATATTTATTTTAAATAAAACTAAAATGGTGTGGTAGATTGTATGAAGTTTAATAAAGTATAAAGGTATATTTTTGTCTCTGAAATATTTTTCGAAAAGCACCGAGCACTCTAACATTTTTGTTGGAGCAATTTTGCCTTTAACGTTATCAAAATAAAATATTTTTTTCTCATTCAATCAAATTTTTTAATAGTCAATGTTTAAAGTTAACATTAGAATTTTGAGCTAGTAATGCACCTTTACCCTTTAATAAACTATGATAGTAATGCTAGGTTTGAGCTCTAGGTATTTTAATCACATTAAAACATGAAAGGGAAGAGTTAAGCAATCTTTGTGATATCCTTAATAAAAAAAGGGTAAAGGTACATTTTTATCTTTGAAGTATTCTTCGAGGAGTGCCAGTATCCTAAACTATTAATTAAAATAATTTTTTTAAAATAATTAAAATAGAGTTTTTCCTTTTTTGTTAAATTCTCTAATGGTCAATTTGACAGTGAGGGCAAAAATATTACATTTTAATTATTTAAAAGGTAAAATTTCTCCAACAAGTAGTTTAAGATGCAAGGGCGCTCCGTGGAGAATATATCAGAGGCAAGAATGTACCTTTATCCAAAAAAACTATGATAATATCATCGACTTATTATCTTGGGTCAAGTTATAATTTCTTTTTTTTTCTTTTTTTTTACCAGCAAGTTATAATATCTCAAATAAGCTAAATCATATTGAAATATAAAATTAATTATGCTTTTAATTTTTTTATTTGAGAATGGTAGAAGATCATGGCAAACATTCTTATAGCTATAGCTATAGTTATGGTAGAATAACGAAAAAATGTTAACGGGTAATTTTTAAGCCAATTTGAAAACATGTATCTTTCAAGATTATTACTTAAGATAATGAACTTTTAGTTCCTAAAGTATGTTAAGTTTTGATCCCTTAAATTTAATTTTTATCAATGTGATCTTTTAAATTTATCTCAATTATCAATTTATTTTTTATTTTTTAAATAGTATATAATATTATTAAAATTTTCTAGCATGAATAATAGAATATTGATGATAGCAATATAAATTAATGAAAAAATTTTAATTATTTATGTAAAAAAAACATGCATAAAAATTTTCAAAAACAAAAGAAAAAAAACACAACATAAGAGACTAAATTAATAAAAATTAAATTGATTTTAGGTTTAATTTTTTCTCAGTTAACTTACATATGTATGCCAAGTCATTAAAATAATTTACACATTAAATAATTTGTGAGTAAATTTGTTTCTTAGACCCTAAAGGACTAACATTATAATTTAAGAAAATATAAGGGACTGAATTAATAAAACTAAACTTGAAGAACTAAATTAATAATTAAGATAAAGTTAAGGAACTAAAAGTTTTATTGTCTTGTATGGATAACTATACATAAATAACAACTAGTATTGTATAGATAATATAAATTTTATAGATAACAATAATTAATTCTTTTACAGAAAATAACTAAGTCATTAACTTTATCTTGCAAAATATAAATTGGTTAATTTAATCTCTCAATATTTTTTTAATTCTTTTTGTCTCTTTACTGAAGCAAGTTGAAATGTCAGCCTTGATAATTAAGTTAATGAAGTTAATTAAAGGGAGAAGTTCATTAAAGGAACATGAATATGGCATTATTACAAATGAGACCCAAATGAATCTAAAATTTTACTGCAAGAATTTGGACTTGAAATGAAATTAAAATGTAAGGCAAAATGATTGAAATACTTCCTTCGTTAAAAAATATAACACATTTTTTGAAGGGTTGAATATTAAAAAATAAAAAGCATTTTTAATATTTCAAGATATAATTAATATTTTTTTCAAATGTACCCCTAATAAATAGATTACTTTATATTTATTTTAAAGTAAAATGTCCTATTAAATAGGAATAAATATAAAAAGATAGTCTTAGTTGAAAACAACTAATTACTTTATTGAGGGTAAAATTTAGTTAAAAATACTTTATATTTTTTAACAAAAGAAGTAACTTTGTTAACTTTACATGTTAATTCTTTATTATTACTTGTTAAAATCTTTACATGTTAATTTCCTGACATTATTTAATAACTTGTTAATTTAATTACTATACTTGTTAAGCATGTGTTTTTACTTGCTAATTCTCTATAGTTACTTGTTAAGATATTTACCTTGCATGTTAAGAAAGTTATCTCAGTCACTTTGTCTTTACATTTAATTTCATTTCAGGCTTAAATTCTTGCAATGGAATTTCATATTTATTTGAACCTCATTTATAATAATGTCACATCTATGGTCTTTAATAAAATTCTCCCTTAATTAAATTTGAAAGCACAAAAAAATGTTTACAATGCTTTGGTTAGAAAAATGTGTAAGTCTATTAACCCAAAATTTAATGGAAAATTGTTACCTTCGCCAAATATGCGCAACTTTGAGAGCCTTCCTGCATCATCACTCAATAATAACACATGATATCAACTGAATATCCAGAGATCATATCATAACAAGGTGAGAAAGTGCCAAGTAAATAAAAATTCATTAATTAATCAATTAAATTATATTTATATCCTGGCTAACAATAACAAATTGTTAAATCTGATTTGAATTAATGGTTCCTTTGGTTAATTTGGGAGAAAAAATATCTTTTAATTGGATATAATATATTTACACATATAATGTGACGTGTTCCTTTTTTATGTTCAACAAAAACTTTAAAAATAAGTTATACTATTGGTGACATATGAATACATTTACCTCTATTTAAATGATAAACTTTTAAATTTACATTCTAATCTTTCTTATAATTAATGATTATAAATATAAGTAATATTAAAAAAACATAATTAATATCATATTACGTACCTTATATTAAATACCAAAAATTTCTTCTAGAAGATATTTTATAATAGGGATTGAAAGGAATATGTGTGTGTGTGTGATTATTACCATTTATAAATGATGAATAATACCATTGGCATTGGGCTTCATGTATTGTAATGCCTAGTTATAAGGTCTTGTTTTTTTTTTCTTGGGGAATGAAAATGAAAATAAAAATAAGAATGAGAATAATAAAATATCTAAATTACAAAAATCATTTTCTAAATTATAATATTATATTAAATATTTTCATATGTTAAAAATACTCTTTTCTGATTTGTAAAATTATGTTCGTAATTCATTAAAAAGATAATATTTTATTTATTAATTGAAAGCACAAATAGGCAATTTAGTCGTTGTAGAACTCATTCTTTGGAATGATTGCCCATTCCATGGCTTCGGAATAGGCATTCCAGAGTTCCTGGAATCATCATCCACAGTTCACAGGAAAAATTAATCTGCATGTTTTTACAATTTATGTTAAGGTGTAAAAATATCTAGAAATTTTTTTCTCCATAAACTTTTTGTATTTTTAAGATAACAATAATATATGAATACTCATTGACTCTATAAAAGATACAAACATCCCTCAATTCATTAAAATAGCATAACGTTAACCATTAAGTTACAAGGATATAACTTAACAGATTAAGAGATGTTGGTCTTTTTTTATAAAATTAATGGATAACCATGCATTATTATTGACTGACTTAATGATATTAGTAGTTCCTAAAAAAAATTTATGGGTATTTTTAATCCTCATAATTTTCTTTAATTTTGAATTAGGTCTACAATTTATTTTGTTTTAATTAAATGTTTGTAGTTTAATTGATTAAATATGTTAATCTCTTGAAGTTAAAATTATTAATGAATAATTAAATTTTTCAAAAAAAAAACTTTTAAAATTTATAGAAAATTTAATTTAACACTTTTGACTAAAAAAATCTAATTTAATAAATCTTTTACATTTCTATTTTTTTTATAAAAAATCTATCATTGCAAAAAAATATTTAGAAGGCATAGCCTAATTATATTAATTTTTTAATAAAAATATAAAATTTTTTAATATCATTTTATAAAAGGAAAATTTCAAAGATTTTAACTTTCAAGGGTTAACATATTTAATTAATCAAACAAACAAAATAAATTACAAAAATTTAATTCAAAATTAAGAAAAATATATAAAGACATACAAATTAATTTTCTCTAATCCACAAATTAAACGTGTATTAAAGCAATGAAAACATCATTAAATTACTCAAGCCATTGATATGATATTCAATACTATGACACGTACATGCAGAGTCAAGGGTGGGAGGCTCCTCTTTCCTTTCCATCCTCTTCAACTTCTCTTCTTTTTTACCCACAAGATTAATATTTTGGACATTTGAGAATTGATCTTTTATAAAAAATTTATTTTTAGTTTTTGTATTCAATTCGATTTTAAATTTGTCAAATTAAATTTTAAAAATTTGAATTTGAATATTTATTTTTATAATTTAATATTTTATTATAATAATAATAATGATAATAATAAAATTTTATAAGAGATTCCTAATCAAAATAATTTTACAAGAGATTAAATTTAACCTTTCAAATCTTGATCTAATGATTTAAAAAAAAAAAGGGGTGGTAAAGGAAGATAAGAAAATCCTCACCCAAGTCCAAGAGTGGAAGCAGAAGCTCTATTTCTATATCATTTCTTTCCCTCTAATCATAACTAGCCTATCAAATTTATGGCTAAAACAAATAATACAATGATGATAATGGTTATGATTATGAAAGTGGAGGAAAATAATAAAAAAATAGAGGGTTAAAATATACTTCGATTCTCTAATTTTATATAATATTTTAATTTAATTTTTTGATTTGAAAAAGTATATTTTCAGTTCTTCAACTTTAATATTGTTAATTTTAAATGATTATTTTTTATGTTAATTATTATTATTTAAAAAAATTAAACTTTAACACAATAATATTTGAAAATGCTTAGTCATGTATTTTAAAAAATTAAAATAAAATTAAAAGATTAAATATATAGTTGAAAAAAGATTGAGTTTGAAGAATTCCATGTGGGATTCAACCAAAGGAGACGCTAGAGGTATACCACACTACTAATCTGGTAAAAATACTGAGAAAAGTAAAGCAACTTACGGCACGGGATTTCATATATTTCCATCATGGGACCGATGCAGAAGTTTAGATTCTGGATGAACGTCCGATTCGGAGTGCATTGCAGGCTTTTAGTTTCAGGGCTGAAATTACAGTCCTGATAACTAAATGGACAAGGAGGAAGATCAGCACAAGCTCGTTCCTCCCATGAAACCTCAAATCCATAGGAAAGCAGTCTGTGAATATCAGCATAGGAGAAGTTTCCCATATGTAGCAGTGAATCCCAATGTGAAGTAATGAGGGTCACCATTTTCACATCACACCCAGATTTGAACTGATTGGCCTTCAAGTCTCCAACCACAGCGTAAACATGACCTCCTTCGGATTCCCAATTTGCGTCGGCTACGACGCCTGTGTCTGTGTATTCTCTCCAGGCGAGTGAATCTCGGAAGAATCTGATCCGTTCCTTCCAAACTAGATCGCTGCAATTCAAATACACCACGTGCTCGAATGTAGGTTCACTGCTCAGAGATGTGCCATAGGGATGTTTGTATCCCTTACGGCTGAAATTAGATCGGAATAAGAAATAGCGAGGGAGGGTGGAGAAATTGTCCGCCTGAATGCCTGGATCTACGAGTCGGATTGTGTAATTGTTGTAGTTTATTGCCAGAACAGGGAATTTTCCGTCATATAAATGAAGGAGAGTGACGTTGTTTTCACAGGCTAACTCGTATCTGGGGTCGCCGCAGTTCGCCGGGTCATCTGGTAGTCGAAATGGATGTGAGATGTTTGTGATAATGCCGCAGCGAGACGGAGCACAGGTATTGTTCAGATCTTGAGAACTTATTACTCTTTGCGTTATTAGAAGCAGTGCGTACCACACTAAATTCCAACACATCAAGCCTTTCTCTATACCCATTTTTGAGAATGATTATGCAGCTGCTTCACTTCTTAATTCTGAGCCTCTAAAATCACGTATGATATAACTATCAAGACATGGAGGGTTTTCACTTTTGATCACATATATACGACTTTTCTTTGCATTTCCCCCTTTACCACCTCAGTTTCTGTATCCTCTTTTTTTGGCCAATACCTCAATTTTTATATCACCATTGACTTTTTCTTGCATAAACATTTTCCTTTGCCGACATCATATATTTCTACGCTGATTTTATTTTTTAGACACATATCATGGGTGATTTAGCTGTCAGGATATGGACATTAGAATAATTTAATGGCAAAATCTTTGAAAAGATTGATCAAATCAAATTAATAGTTTAATTTGTTGTCATCCACCAATTATTTTTCTATAGCCAAAAGCCACATTGTGCTGGTGGGCTCTCTAAAAGCAAAAGAAGCAGAGATGAAGAAGAAAGTTGTACATGTTTTTAAGGCATAAGTAGCACTTTTCTCTAGGCTCAATTCAGCCCACCTATTCCAATTTTTAAGTACAAATTGGGTTGATGATGAATTTCATTCAGGATATAATGAAGACTCTTTAGTACAGTTTGCATTATCAAGACTTAAGACAACAATAATTTTTTTAAGATAATTTGATTTTATTTGTACTGCACTCAAAGAATAAAGACAATAATTTGACTTTATCTCTTTCTTTTTGGGCCGATACCTCAATTTTTGTATCACTATTGACTTTTTCTTGCATAGGCATTTTCCTTTGCCGCCATCATATATTTCTACGCTGATTTTAGACACATATCATGGATGACTTAGCTGTCAGGATATGGACATTAGAATAATTTAATGGCAAAATCTATGAAAAGTTTGATCAAATCAAATTAATTGTTTAATTTGTTGTCATCCACCAATTATTTTTCTACAGTCAAAAGCCACGTTGTGCTGGCGGGCTATCTAAAAACAAAAGAAGTAAAGACGAAAAAGAAAGTTGCACACGTTATTTTCAAGGCATAAGCAGCATTTTTCTCTAGGCTTAATTCGCCACATCTATTCCAATTTTTAAGTACAAATTGAGTTGATGACAAATTTCATTCATGAATACCCTTGAGTATGGTTTGCATTACCAAGATTCAAACTAAGACGACAATAATTTTTATAAAGTAATAATTTGACTTTATCTCTAGTGCACTCAAAAATAAAGACAATAAATTTTAATTGATGGATCTTTTTTTGAATATCCTACATGAGTGATGGTAAGGGGTATTTATAGTTATTAAAGTGATACCTTAAATTGATACTTTTTAGAATATAAAACTTTCTTTAAAAGTTATAACCAACATTGGTTCATAGCCTATATATTGGTTCATAAACAACCTTATGTTAATTCATAGACATCCTTATCTTGGTTCATGAACCTATATAGTTTAACAATTAATGTTAATCAAAGGTTACTTATAATAACTTTTCATGAGAGGAAACATCTTTTTTAATTTGTAGAGAATTTTCTTGAAATATATTTCCTTTCATCAAGTGACACCTTTTAGTTTTATAATTCTCTAGAAGTGCCTTTAAAATTTTGAGAAACATAACCTTGATTTTCTACATAATCTTTTATAAAAATAATCTTTAATTTATAAAAACATAACTCTTTAATTTATAAGGACATGACTTTTTAAAAAGATAACACTTTATTTTGAAAATATTTGAACAGATTGTTTTTCTTCTTTATCCCTAGATTTTCGTTAATACCACAGCTTTTTCTTCTTTTCCTTTATATTTCCCACTGGAAAGTTCATTTGAAATTTCTGCCAAGTGACTTTTCATTGCATCTCCCTTTGCCATCTTAATTTCTGTCTGACTAGTGACTTTATAATTTCTACACTGATTTTATGTTCTAGACGCATATCAGGTGGGATTTAACTCTTAGGATAGGGACATTAGTATTAACTTAATAGCATTATATGAAAAGTTTAGTCACATATATCAAATTAATAATTTAGTTGTCTTCCACTCGTCAATAACTTTTTCCAATGCTATTATAAGCTAATTGTTTCTTCTTCTTTTTTGTTTTTCAATCTTTTTCTCAAAGTTGTCTTGATACTTCTGTCTAGATTGGAGAAATCACCTCCCCAAGTTGGAACCCCGTTCACATGCGTTCATTTTGGATGAGGCATGCGACATGTTATTTAATACTTGTGCAGACTGAAATCTGAATCCTTGTTTCAGATAAAGGGGAAAAACTTTCCCATTCAGAAAAAAAGGGAAAAGACTTCGATGATGATGTTTTGCCATTACAGATTGTTGTTGTTGGCTATAATTCAGGTATTGGTGTTGCTTCTGAAACTAGGCAATGGTGAAATTGTTCCATGGCATTTCAATGGAACGGCGATTGAGTTCCCATCAATTCCTGCTCTTAAAGGAGTAAGTCTCAAAGTCGTAGACATGTACTATGATTACCACGTCTTAGCCACAAGAGATCCAGAAGGTTGTCTTCCCAAACTCTTTCTAAAGCTCTACCACTCATCCTTTTATCCTTTCCTGTTTAATCTATTGTATCCTCGGACTTCCCAAACATTCACAAATATTACTTTCTTTGATTGTTCATCGGCCAAGTACTTGGAAAACGTAAACTTACCGCCAAGACAGAACGTGTCTGTTTGCCCCATTTTTGCCTTGGACTCAAATGATATTATCCTAGATTGGGACATAATTTTCTGCACCAAGATGGTTGAGTTATTTTCGCCAATAAGCGCATTGCCCCTTCGGGCGAATGAATTACGATTCCAACTACCTGTTGGTTTTTTTTTTGGGCCAAATCCAACTACCTGTTGTTGAAAAGCACAAAACCAGGAAGATATTTAGAGTTGCTTTACCAGCTACAGGTGACAATAGTTGACCCTGCTTTTCTGCTAATTTTTTCATTTGGTGTGGGATATTCCTTAGATTGAAACTGAATGTTCAATTGATGGACCGGTTTAACTGCAGGTTCAATTGTTCTGATGTTGATGTTCATTGCGTGCTTTGGCATATTTCGCTACTTCAAACAGAAAGGAGATGATCAAGCAAGACTCGAAAAGTTTCTGGAGGATTATAATGCACTGAAGCCTACTAGATTCTCACACGCTGATATCAAAAGAATTACAAATAATTTTAAGGACAAATTAGGTGAAGGAGCTCATGGAACAGTCTTTAAAGGTAAGTTATCTACTGAAATTCAAGTGGCTGTCAAAGTACTCAATAATTTAAACAACAATGGTAATGACTTCATTAATGAGGTGGGGATCATAGGCAAAATTCATCACATCAATGTTGTTCGTCTGTTGGGTTTTTGTGCTGATGGCTTTTACCGTGCTCTTGTTTATGACTTTTTTCCAAATGGTTCCCTCCAAAAGTTCATATCTACTCCAGACAACAAAGAAAATTTTCTTGGATGGTTAAAGCTACAGCAAATAGCTCTTGACATAGCCAAGGGGATTGAATATCTTCATCAAGGTTGTGATTACAGAATTCTTCACTTTGACATTAATCCTCATAATGTGTTATTAGATCTCAATTTTACTTCTAAAATTTCTGATTTTGGTCTAGCTAAATTGTGTTCTAAAAATCAAAGTACGGTGTCAATAACAGCAGCAAGAGGAACTTTAGGTTATATTGCACCAGAAGTTTTCTCTCGAAACTTTGGAAATGTGTCATATAAGTCAGATATCTACAGTTATGGAATGTTATTATTAGAAATGGTTAGTGGAAGGAAAAATGTTGACACAAGTAAAAAAACTTTGCAAGTTCTATACCCAGAATGGATCCATAATTTGATTGAAGGAGGAGATATAAATATTTGCATAGAAGATGAAGATGACATGAGGATTGGAAAGAAACTAGCAATTGTGGGACTTTGGTGTGTTCAATGGCATCCGATAAATCGTCCATCTATAAAAACAGTTATGCAAATGCTTGAAGGAGATGTAGATAAATTAAAACTGCCTCCCACTCCATTTAACTTTGGTGGATCAGCTAGTACAAGTACCATTGTTCCTCCGAGACACTTGAATTTAGAGTTAAAAGTGATTCATGAATTAGAATAAATATGTATATCATGGACGGGTGGTTTATCCTTTTTTACTTCGATTGAGAATAGTTTGTAATGTTTTTCATATTTATTCAATAAATGAACCCTTTTATCATCTATGTATGGGAATTTGTCTTTTATATTTAGCCTAAGTAATATCTTACACACTATTATCAAATTAATGTGGTAGATAATAGAATACAAATTTTAGTCTTTTATATATAAAAGAAATAACATTTATCTCTATATTTATTTATAATTCAGAGAACTTGATCATTATTATTATTATTATTATTATTATTATTATTATTATTTTATATGGTATTTATTTTTAATTTTTTGGATTCTTTTTTATAGTATTTTGGTCAACTAATAATTAAAAATAAGTTTTATTAAATGTTGAATAGAAAAATTATATTAAAAATGAATTTAAAATTTTAAATATTTATTAGGGAAAATTACATCTAGGTCTCGTGGACAAAAGTTTATTATCAAAAGGTCTCACAAATTTCACAAAATACTCTTAAGTTTCAAATCTTGCTTGACAACTTCACTAAAGATATTAACAACTTAACTAAAGCATTGACAATTGGGCAACGATCATTTACAACTTGTCGTTGTCCAATTATCAATGGCCAAAGACATTGATAATTGAATAACAATCATTTACAACTTGCCGTTGTCCAATTACCAATGGCCGTTGCCCTTATCAAGTTGTCAATGTATAGAATTTGAGATTTGAAAGTATTTTATAAAATTTATAGGACCTATCAATAATAAACTTTTATCCGTGGGATTTGGATGTAATTTTTCCTATTTATTACGGACTTGTAGTTTAAGGATAAAATTATCATTTAATTTTTTTTTTTAAGTTTTGAGAGATATCATTCATATTTACCTTAACTTATAATTCATTATGCAATCTTATAAATTTTGAGGTGCTAAAATTTTTGGAGGATTGATAATTTCTTTCTAACTTTATTTACTAGTTTGGAGGTCCCTCTTTAGAGGGATCTGGTTTCAGTGCTTAGCAGCTTGCTAAGCATTGACGTGCTCATCACCTAGGAAAACATCGCCTAGATTTTTTAATTTTAATTTTAATTCTATATTTATAAAAAATAAAAATTTATAAATTTTTTTATAAATATATTCATCATCAATCTGGACAGTATTAATTTAATTTGGATGGTTCAATTTAATGTTATAATTTTTATAAATTAACTATCTAGATATACTCTGGATAGTCCAAATTTAATATTAAATTTTTATCTACAAGGTATAGATTTAAAGTTTTTATTTTATTTTAATTTTATATTTATTAAAATAAAATATTATTAAAAAAATTAATATTAAATCTATCTTGTCCAAAGTATATCTAGAGAGTTAGTTTATGAAAATTATACTATTAAATTGAATCACCTAGAATCTCAGATTGAATCAGTACTGTTTAGGTTGATGATAAATATATTTATAAGAAAATTATAAATTTTATTTTTATAAAATTGAAATTGAAATTAAAATTAAAATTAAAAAAAAACTTAGACCATCTAAATTTTTTAATCTAAATGACCCAGATGTTTTCCTGGGTGATGAGCTGTTGTGCACCAAAACCAAATCCCTCTTTAGAGGGATGAATATTCTACATGAAATCGAAAACTTGACACTTTCATTTCACGGTCTCCAAGTATTTATTTTGGAGTACACATCATCATCCATTTTTGACATGCCTTATATAGCCCTATAGGAGACAAGTTTCCAATTATCATATTTGGATTTGGTGAGTGGTAGGTCAAATATCATATTTAAATTTGGTGAGTTATTTAGGTTCACTCACTCGATGACTTAATTAAAGTCATTAAATTTTATCAATATTTAAAAATTAATAAATATATTTTTTCTTGAATTTAAAACAATTTTCTAAATTAAAACAATCCTTACATATGTTATCCTCCAAAAATTTAAGATTTGAAATTTTTTGATTATTATATAACAATATTTGATAGATGTTCAATTAAATTGAACGATTGTTATTATATCATGTAAGACATTTATTGAATGAGCGGACTAATGTTAAAGCCCCTCCTCCTAAAGCCATTTTTCCATTACGCTTATCCAAACATTGAAGCTTTTCTCCATGCTCGAGTTTTAGACTTTTGCACAATTATTGGAGAGTGGAATATCAATTAGTTAAGCCATTATCTTCATAGAGATGTGCTTAAGCTTATTTTCCGTTGTGCAACCTCCTAATTCCCATGATGAAGAAGATGTTATTTATTAAAGACCTTCTAATGATGGTAACTTCACCATTAAATCTACTTATAGAGCTATGGAGAATTAGTGCAATCTTGCTAATTTAAAAATTTGATCTAGAATCTGAAAATGGCCAACCTATAAAAAAAATTAGTTGTTTTCTTTGAAAAGCTGCTTGGAATTGTCTCCAAATCAATTATACCTTCACTGATAGGAACAACTCTTGTCCAAGGATTTGTCCTTATAGTTGCAACTCCCTAGACTCCTCAATTCACATCTTACATGATTGTGAGGAAGCTCAAGAAGTTTGGATAAAACTAGTTAAGCTTTCTAAATTTAATATCTTTTTTTCTCTTTCTGTATAGAAATGGATAACTTGAGATGCAAAAAATGATATCAGATGTTCAAACTCAAGAGCATCACATCAGCAAAAACTTTTTACACTGTTATGTTGAAATATTTGAAAGACAAGATGCAAGAACATTTATTTAGAAGAGGATACACAAGATAGAGATGTAGCATTTATCAACAAAAAATAACTAGTCAATGATACCAATTTACAATCCAAGATCAATTGCTTATCAAAGGAGGTTGCAAGATATGAAGTAAAATGGAGCCCTCTTGAAATAGGTTGGGCTAGATTCAACATTGATGGATCAGTTAACATCAATGGGACTACAGTTTGTGGAGGCTTGATTTACAACACCCATAGAAATTGAATTAAAGGATTTTTTAAATATTAGATTAAAGGATTTTTCAAATATTTTGGTTATTACCCAAGCACGACTATTGAAGTACTAGACATTTTGGAAGGAATCAAGCTTTATTGGGATGCTAAACTAACTAAAATTAACATCTATTCAGACTCTCTAAAAGTTTTATCCTTAATTCAATAGAACTTCTTCAAGAATCATCTCTATTTTAATTATAAGATTAGAGATTTCGCTATTAAAGATTGAACAATTATTTTTGACCATGTGTCAAGGTAAGCAAATAGATGTACCGATTTACCAATGATAATTTTGAATTAATGATATTTCATGAACCACCTACTAAGTGTAAAAATATAATGTATTTTGATATGATTACATAGTTTTTTCCTTCTTGCATGGGTTTTCCATGGCGATATATTAAAAAAAAATAAAATGGACTAACAAATTCCCAATTTTCAAATATCAATGCCATGCGGAAACATTAGAGGCATTTTTTTAACCAGAAAATTAGAGGCATTAATTTGTTTTCGAAATCGTTGTCCAGCTATTATTATGGTCTTGTCAAATTATATTAAAACCTTTGAAATTTTTGTCATCATTTTCTAAATTTATTTTGTAAGTCTAAAAGTCCCTTTCTGCGTGGATGAGTATTTTGCAGACGTCGATGTGAAAAATTTGACATATCAATTCATTGCCCTTATCTATTACTCCAATATTATGAATGCATATTGAAATTTATCTGTAACATCAACGCATAAAATTCGGGTGGAAGATTATTCAATATTTTTGTTTTCCTCAGCAAGGAAGGTTGTTAATTGATTCCAACCTCAATTTTCCAACATCTTGTACGCTAAATTAGTCTGAGAAATATTTTACACAACACAAAAATGGGTTATATGTTCGGGATTGTTACAATTAATACCAATTCAATATATAATTTACAAGAAATTACACTATTTATAAATTAAAAATAGTATGCTTTTTTCTCAAATTTCATCTGATGCTTTTTTCCCCATTACAGCCTACTTTTTGAAGATATCTTTAATTATAAATTTATTTTGGACACACATCTAATTGTTTTATAATTCTATTAGGGGTCCTTTTAGCAGGGGACAAATTTTCAACCAAATATCAACTTCATGTAGAAAATTAGGGTCATCTTGATTGTTATGTCTTTTCAAAACAGTAATTTGAAGATCTTATCTCATCTCTTTCTAACATATTTTCAAAGTCTTGAGGTCTCTATTTTTAGGGACGAGTATGTTCTACGCACAACATGAAAAATGTGATATAATACTTTTGCCGTCATTGTTGAATAATATCATGATTTTTCTCTGTTAATGTCCAATGTTTCGAACACTGAACATGTGGGAGGTTCGATCATTATCCTCAACACCAACATGACAATCAACTATTGACAATAATATCATGACTTTTTTGCACCCAAGTTTTAATTTACACGAAATATTAATTATCATCCCTCTGTAACATATTTTTGTAATTATATGAAGGTCTATCTTGTAGACAAAAATTTTTTCAAAAAAAAAATAAACAGTAATATGAAGCAAAACTAGAGCATCTATCTTTAATGAGATCTACTACATATTTATTTATTAAAAGTAACATGGAAAGCCAGAGATATTTGTTTCCATTGTTGTTGTTTGATATTATAGTTTTTTTGAATATTCTTTTTCAAAAAAATTATCATTTTTTAAACTTGTTTTGTAAGTCTATAGGTCTTTTTTAGCTAGCATAGGATATGAGTTTTCTATACCTAATGTGAAAACGTTGATATATTTGTGGAAATCTAAAAATATTTATTTTCACACGTATTGTGGAAACTGAAGACAATAATTAGTCCGTCTTTGTTTGTTGACTGTCTTGTCTGACATGTCATACATCACTTTAAATTTTTGGATATGTGATGATCTCTCTTTCTAACTTATTTTGTAAGTTTTCCACACGTATTGTGGAAAACTAGAGATATTAATTGCTTCGTGTTTATTGTCAACTGTTTTATTTGAGATGTCATACATCGCTTTGAATTTTTGGAGATGTGATAATCTCTCTTTCTAACTCATTTAGTAAGTCTACGAGTCTCTTGAAATTATGAGATGGTTGGTATCCTATGTAAAAATTTTGATATACTCTTCGGT